GGGGTGTTACGAATAGTAATACTTGAATATTGCTGTGCACTCCTCACCGCAGCAAAGAGAAGCACGCAGTATCGCGAATGAACGCGAAGCGTCAGACGGTTGGAACGCATGTGAACCGTCGGAGCAGACAGCATCAGGCAGCTGCAGACAGGATGGTTTCGGCGGGAACAGTTTCGTAACTGTTCGCGCCGCACAGTTGGGGATGTATTTGAATAAGGGAATGTACCCCTTAGAGTACATGGCTAGTCTAGGTCTTTTCGTATTCCTCTGTACTCTTATATAAACTCGATGTATGCATGTCTTAATTATCTCAAGCATTTGCATTCACTCTGCTATTGAGGTCAAGGGCCCACCAACACCACTTCCCTGCGTGCGAACCTTCCTGAGTAGATCCTAGGCCACGATCAACTTCTGATCGCAACATTCTCTATATAAGGAAAGTGGGATTCTGTGCAACCTTGCATTGTGCAAAACACAATGAATTTTGTTAGTACAGACCCATTTCAGTTTGAGTTTTGTTGTGGTATTTCTATCCACTAATGGCGTTACCTATATCACGCTTGGTGGCAGACCCACACTCTGTTCAGTTTCAGGATTCGGGTGAGGTTGGGCTGCTCGTTTCCAACAGCTTGGGTAGTCTTGCCCGTGATCTCGGTCGCGGTAAAGTTGGACCTGAGGGACCACATGATAACGAGGTGCGATTTCCCCTAACTATTGCACGGCTTGGCGTCTTCGAGGTGGAACGGCTAACCCAGAACCACACATGTGTAAGCTGCAGTCGATTTGATGAGATTTTCATACACACGAGTGGTCAACACGTGTCCATGCGCCAAGGATGATGTGGACCCAAATGCAGATGAGTTTCGCAGCTTCCCAGACCGTCACGCGAAGCGACTAATCAGATCGGAAACACAAACAATATCCCACTCAGAGCGGTCCAGCGTGTCATCTGCCCACATTGGGTTTGGATTGGAGCCCTGGAGACGGGACGGAATGGATGTGATGGGTGGAAGAGGCTGCCCGAAAGGCCTGGTTCGCGTATTGTTGTGCAGAATTGCTGACGGAATTTGTGCAAGCAGATTGGCTGCGACGAAACAGGTCCACTCACTGTTTCAGACTGATCACACCACGACTAGCGCGACCATGTGCGACGGAAAGCGAACCATTATCAGAAGTCTTTGTCGCCATGGGCTGAAGTCAGGAGCGCGCGGCGCGGGTGGAGGATGGGGGGAGTGTCACTGTGTGGTGTGGTCCCCCCAAGGCATGCCCTTCCAAGACGGGAACCGAATGATGTGGGCTGATCTGGAGGCCAGCTCAGTTGGGCTGTGTCTGAGGTCGCAGCGCGTACTCCCCCGTGCGCGGAACTGTCTGTGACCCCCACAACGCGCAGTCCACTTTGGCACCCCCCGCTACACCTGTTCCGCGTTATTTTCACACTCTGAAAATCGCGCACGCGGCTTTGTCTGTTCTGGGGGGTGTGAAGTTAGGGGTAAGAAAACTGTTCCGTCTAATTTCACGCGCGCTGAGTCAGCGCGCGTGGAAAGTGAAATCCGAAAGTTGACTCAGCAGCTTTGACTTTGTTGAACATTCCTTGTGTGTTGGACACACCTCCGAAAATGCAAAACTCAAGAGAAACAAATTCTATAACTGGAAAAATGCAAGTACACCTGAACGTAAATGAAGGCCTACAAACAAAAACAGAAATTCGGAACATGATACAATGCTCCTTCCTTGCACACGTTAAAAGGCAATGGTACAAGGAGCACTATGTGTTTAGCCCAGCATACGCGAACGCCATGTTGTCTTCTGAAAGCATGTCCCTAAAACTGTAGGTACCAGCGGCGCGATCAACCGCGGGACGAACATACCTCGCCATAGAGGAATCCGATGCGAACTCATGCAAGGCCGTCGTTGCCGCTGCTGCATCTGCAGCATCCATGCCTGCCTCAGAGGGGGGCGCGTCATTCAGATCGAATGGGACGCCGCGGTTTCCGGGTTGGGCAGTCCACCAACTCCTACCAACCCACTCCGTGTCGTTTGCAACGCGTGTAGAAGTGGCGACGTGGTCGTCACAACCAACGAACGCCCGAGCGGTCATTAAAGGATCGTCAATCTTCAGTTTTTTCATTAACACACCTAGAGCTGTGATGTCCGCCGTCTCAGGATCCTTAGAAGGTCCTTGAAATAACCGTTCCAACCCCCACTCCTCCAACCAATTGTACGGCACCACACCGGACCGACGCCAACACCTCCTTATGATCTCTCGACCCATAGTACTCCATACACCACATATCCATGTAATGGCAGTCCGCAAGTCGGGCCGGACAGTTTTCCGTGCCTCTTGATCACGCGTGCGCTGAAATTGATCAAGCAACCACGTGACCAAAATTTTCCGGTACCGCAACTTCAATGTTGCGATGACACCTTGATCCAAGGGTTGTACGTGGGAAGTGCAGTTTGGGGGTAGATAAATTACCCTCACGTTCGGAAGCTCCACAACCTTGATCCCGTCCCTCCAAAACTCGCGCTTTCCCTCGATGTTATTGATGTTGTGTGCGCTTGCATTGTCCACCAATATTGCGATTTTCCGGTCCTTGAATCCCATGTCGCCGTCCACCGCGTCCACCCATTGGGTGAAGATCTATGCGCAACACAAGAAAGCCAAAGAGAGTTGTGAGTAAGTTGGAAATAATGTTTGCATACACGACAAGTGGGAAGTGGCGGGGGTATTCATTGCTTACCTCTGAGGTCATCCATGCACGCCTATTTGCACGGTACCAAGTGTAGTCGTCCACGTTGAAATCGTTCCGGAATGAAGTCGGCCGCAATGCCTTTCCAATGACGATTGGTTTCATCAAATCGGTGCCATCGGCGTTGCAACACAATGCAAGGGTAAACCGTTCTTTGTCTAACTTCCCTCCCGCCACGGATTCGTTCGCGTACGTGCGACGCGGTTGTTGACCGGAGATAAATCCGGTCTCATCCATGTTGTACACATCCGCGGCCTCGTACCCAAAATCTTTGAGGATTTTCGGTATGGTCTCCCTAGCGAGGGCAATGGATTCAGCATTAGCATCCTTCGCCTCACCCTTCCTCTGATACGACGACATCCCCATTCGTGCAAGCGCGCGGCATAACCTCCCGGGAGAGACTGTGAAATCGCTAGGAAGACGCATAGCTTTGGCAAATGCCTCCGACTTTTGAAGAAGAACATGGAAGGTGATCGGTAAATTCGCTGCAGTGTGCCTAACAGCCCACGCATGCAACCTGGCCTCAAGGGCGGGAAACTTTCCCTCACGGAGGCGTTTACGGTCTGTGGGGAGTAAAGAGGGGGCTGTCCATTTGGTTGAGGCTTTTAGTATCTTACATACAGTGCTACGACACGGGTGTTTTTTGAAGTTCGTGAAGCACCATAACGCAAGCTCTTTGTGCGACAAGTTCGGGTTCCTAACACGATACTCGCATAATGCAGCCTTCTCGACACGAGTTAGAGCTGCATTTTTTTTAGGCTTAGGCATTCTGTTATGCTGGGAAGGCTGTTAGGAGGTGGAAAAAACGCTGGCGAGAAATGTGGCAGTCTCTGGTGTCGAATGAGTTTGTTCTGAATTTTGAGACTGGGTTTCGAGAGATGGTGAAGCTGGGTTGGACATTCTAATTTGTACACGTCAGGTTCATGTGTACTTGATTCAAGGAAGAATGCGTGCATTTTTTTGTGTGGTCGCGTTTTTGGCGCTGTGATTTTCGCCAATGCGAATTGAACACGTGAGAAATTTGAAACATCCGCAATCGGAGGATTGCGGATGCGAATTTCTGGATTGTGCCTGGAAAAGCGATTTCGCGCCCAGGTCAAACATGAAATGACCCCTTGCTGACTCAGCCGCGCGTGCACCCCCTTGGTCACTTTTCTGCCGCCCCTGGTCAGATTGCCCCGGAAAAGGACAAAGGGGTTGAAGATAGGGGGTGTGAAATTATCGCGGAACAGGTGTACACGTATTCTTCCATCCCCGCGCCTGTGCTTCATCCCGCCCAGGGCCCTCGCCCCGCCCCCCCCCGCCCCCTCCAAAGCTCCCGCAGCCCCTTCCCCCGCACGGACCCCATCACAGTTCATTGTTCAGTGTTCACCCCCTCGCCTGTCGTTGCTCCTCTTCTCACGTGTCTCCCTTGTGCTTCCCTCGACTTGGCATTTATACAAAAGCCGCTTCTCTCCCTCAATTCAGCGCAACTCATTCCGTGCCCGTTCGATCCAGAACAGCCCCTGTTGTCATTCTCTGCCGTGCTCACGTCTCTTTCCTGTGCCAAAGCTTGACGCGTTTGACGCTGCCCTTTTTGTGCTCGTCTCAGCTTGTCAGCGCTCTCCCATTCGCTTCCAACTCTTGTTGGTTGCAGCTTCTGTGGAGGTCATTGGACATTCGTTGCGAGAAGCCGCAGAACTCCCTCCCTGCATTCGACGAACCCAGATTCTGCATCTCCACGCAAGAAGGCCGCGCTCCGACAGCATTCGCCAGTTCACTTTACAAGCCCGCGTTCTTTGCACCCCTTATCTGCTGAGCATTTGCCCTGTGAATGCTCGTTTCTGCTGCTTCCGCGTGCGATCACCTCCAACCAACTTCTCTCTCCCACTTTGTGCTACGCTTCTCAAGCTGACGATCGAGGAAGCATTTGTTCGAGTCACGAAGTGAGCCGTTGGGCTACCATCATCATATCATCATCAAGTGTCCATAGCTCAACGTGTATCAGCCCGGACCGTGCTTCACGCACATGTCTTTGTCCTCCACCTCATCTGCTCTCCGTTTTTCCATAAGCCGATTTCTGTGTTCTACTCAACGGCAAGCGTATTCCTCTTACCCGCACAACCTCCATCGTATCTTCTCACACAACCACAGCCAGCGCTGCCAATCGCCCATGATAGCGCCTTGTACACTGACACAGTAATTGCCGGGTAATTCCAACATCAACGTCGTCCGCCCATATATCATTACCGCGTTCATAGGTTCAAAGCAATGGCTAACACGTCTAAGTTCCTGATGGCGGCGGGAGCAGCGGGGGCAGCAGTAGGGCGGTCAGGAGCCGTCCCGGCGCTTCTCTCGCGCGTCTTCCACGCTGCCGTCACCAGCAGATCGCTCGCACCCATCGCGATCGCCACTGCGAATATCGCCATTTCCGCGTCCGTCTCTGCGCCTACCTCGGGCCCTACGTGTGCTCCCGTCGCCTCAAACAATTCGATCTCCTCGAATGGTGAACCTGCTGGAGCTGCAAACACGGGTATTAGCAGATCTGGGAGCACGCGGAATTTGAGCACAGCCGCTGTAGCCGTTCAATACGAGGACAACGACGACGACGATGTCGATGGCGAATACGGCAGCGAAAAGCAGCCGCAGGGTTACCCCTCGCCGTTCCGCAGAGCGCAGCTGTGGCAGCAGCAACAACAGCAGTGGCAGCGACAAAAGCACACGCTTCAAGAACAGGAAGAAGTCGCTCCGACCTCATTAGCGCAAAACACTCATGACGATGCCACAGCACTCGACTCTTCGTCGTCCTCTTCCTCACTGCTCTCATTCCAATCCTCTCCGTCATCTTCCACTCCCTCGCCCTCTGGTGGCTGCGACTACTCAACCGAGCCCTTCCAAACGATGCCCTTCCCGTCGTGGGAATCGTCGCACACGTCGCATGGAAGTCGCAGGACGCAGTCCGGCGACGGATCGAGTGACAACGGAGTGGAGCACCGCGCGCTGCTCGTCGACGCTGCGGGAACCCTTGTAGAACCTAGCGAGCCAGTCACTAAGGTGTACGCGGATCTGGGGCGCAAATACGGAGTGAAATACTCGGAGGATGAAATACTGCAGCGGTACCGCCACGCGTATATCCAGCCATGGCGCAAGTCGATTCTGAGATACGAGGACGACGCGCGGCCGTTTTGGCAATACGTGGTTTCGGAGTCAACAGGCTGCAACCACCCGGATTACCTGGAGGAGTTGTACCAGTACTACACGACCAAGGAGGTAATTGCACCTTCCCCCAGAGGTTTTGACGCATGATGAATCGTGGATCGCTCACTCCACGCTGATTTCCCCCTTCCCCATCCCCTCTCTTCCCCCAGTCTCCCCCCCCCTCCCCTCCCTTCTCCCTCCCCCCCCCTCTCCTCCCCCTCATCTTCTGCCTCTCACATCCACCTCTTCTTTCTCTCTTCCCCCGTTCCCCCTCCCCTCATCTCTCCTCCTCGCCCCCTCCAGGCGTGGCGTCTCACGGACCCGCATGCCAAGGAGGCGTTCACCGCCATTCGCGACGCGGGAGTGAAGATAGCCGTTGTGTCCAACTTTGACACGCGCCTGCGCACTGTGCTCAAGGAGCTTGAATGCCACGACTGGTTCGACGCCATTGCTGTCTCCGCTGAGGTGCGTGGACAGCAAATTTTCTGTCCTTGCTGGAACAGAATTCATGGTGGGCTGCTTCCTGTGTGGATATGTATGATTGTGGTGTGGTGCCATGCCCATGTCTTGTCATAGCATGGGTATGTCATGCGTTGGATAGGAATGGAGTGTGACTCTATGTGCTTGTTCCCTTTTTCATATTTGCAACCCTGTGTTCTTTCTGTACTCCCCTCTTCTCGTTTTTTCTCAGATTCAAGCAGAGAAGCCCAACCCAGTGATATTCCACTCAGCATGTGACCTGGTGGGTGTAGATCCACACCATGCGGTGCATGTGGGAGATGACAGGAGGAACGACCTCTGGGGAGCTAGGGACGCAGGTTGCTCCGCATGGCTATGGCAGGACGACGTGCATTCCTTCCATGACGTGGCTCGCAAGCTCGGAGTGCTTTTCCCTGGAGAGGAGGAGAGCCCCGAAGCAAATAAGAGGAGGATGCGAAGGCCGCCTCGATGGGCTGAAAGGCCCATGATTGCAGCCAATGGCCTTCAGTTTCTGCGCCACTAAATGCTGCGGCCATTGCCGTTGCGGAGCGCTGTGGCCTAGCCTGTTTACTCAAGAAAGCAGAGGAATAGTAGTCCCAAGATTAAGTTAATGCTCCCTGGTTATTCTCCTCCCCTGGCTGAACTAGTTGCTCTTGTGTAGCATCCATGCCCTGAATTGTGAAGTACATCAATAAAGAGCAGCTGGAAGTGAAGCTTTCTATTTGAGGTGACTTGGGCTATGATGCAACATATTTCCTGCTTCCGTTACCCGTCCTCTCCGTCCGATCCCCACATTCCCGTAAGCTGTTAGAAATGAGGATGCCATGCTAACCAATCAGCTGACTCTGCAGGTACCCCCCATATGTGATTGCTTTGTTCCAGCAGTCATCCACCCATTCGCTGAGGTGCAAAATTCGGCACATGGGGGTTGGGCTGAAGGCAGTCGCTTATTTTGTGTGTGTGCAGCGTGAACGAGAAGCATTCACCTGGCTGAAGCTGGGTTTTGAAAGAAGAACCACGAACGTGATGATTGTCGTGAAAAGCAACAAAATCATAATTCCGTACGTTACTGTCCAGAACACTACGGGGGAGTCATAAAAACATTACAGTGCGATTTTCAGCTGGACAGTTATGGCGTGTTCCAATTTGCGGTGCACTGCATCGGCTCGGCTCGTGGCACGGGTTTGAGAAGGTTCCAGGAACGCTATAAGCCGTAAAATTTTCACAGAAAACGCGCAAAGAAAATATATGCACCTAGTATAACCTTGGCAAATAACTCTTTGAATCACTATCTTGAAACTTTTCTTTCCCGAATCAGTGCCCTTGTTTGGCCTCCCGCCTGCATAGAGCCTTCCAAACGTCCCGAGCCGATGCAGTGCACCGCCAATTGCAACACGCAAGGGGTTTCTGAAATTGGTCGCAAAGATCGTGTCAGGTGCGATGTTTGCTCCTAGTATCAGGGCGGGTCCAGCTCGTTTCGTTTCGAGGAATAACACCCCTGTAACAAAACGTTGACTGTCCGGATGACAAACACCCAATTCGAACCTAAACACGTGCAGCGTCATGTTGACCCCAGGCGGGCACAGCACCTGCCCAAACGAACTGGTGTACCATCAACACAGACACAACATCCCTCCCGTATGAACAGAAGTTGATGGGGAAACAATCATGCGTGCAATCGGCAGACTTCGTCAGGGGTTTTTGTGGGAAGACACTCTAGGAAGTGGAACTGTTGCGAGACAGGTTACCGTCTGACGAAACTAATGCAATTCGCAATCACGAATACACTCTGTTACTGGGATGTGTGTGTGAGAAAGTTTGATTTGCTCTTGCTTCCCAGTTCTCTAATATTTTCGGAAAATTTTCGAGTTTGAAATGTGTTGTGGCACGAAACTCGTTTTGCATGGCGGAAAACTGAGCCCGTCATCCCTGCTAGTCTCATGATTTGACGCGGTTACCCTACAGAAAAAGGTTACAGAGGCTAATAATGACCTGAGCTGTGATGAGCTGGACCCGCCCTCAATGCTCCTTCCTAGCTCATCGGGCTCTAGTGTGTGTCGCGTTTCACTCGTGACTTGGGTTTCACCGAATTACAGTTGGTCCACCACACTTTCCGTGCCGTTAGTCATGTACAGTACACCCTGTTTCGCGCTAGCAGAGCATCTGGTTGCAGAACATGCACTGGTTGTAGAACGTCACCACGTTTGAAATGGTCTTATCACCGACGGTACAAGCACATTCACAAGAAAGCGGTTAGCTAGGATGCTGCATGGTAAAGAACATTAAACAAGCGTTTCAAAGCGGTTGAAAAGGGTATACAGCGATAAAGAAAAATTTTGCCCCCAGTACCACTCCGTCAGCTGGTGCGGCTTTGCCCGCAGGTTTCAGCCATACGGTTTATGGCACCTGACCGCACTGTAGCAGCGAATCGCGCAAGGTGAGAGGGTCGAGAAACAGGGTGTACATTCTTCTGCAGCAGAGCAGAACAAAACGGCAGCATTGACCTCAAGCTTTCCATTTGGCGATAGTAACGCGACAGTAGACTTGCCCTTTCGTTTCCCTTTCTTACCCCCTTGTCTTTCGATTATCTGACAGTTGTGCATTTCCCATTACCTTGTCCTCCGGTGCCGCTGCGCACACTCACGCCTCTTCCTACCTCTACCTTCCACTTCACGGTCTAATCCGTGCCGCTTGTCTCGTGAAATGACAGCTAAGCTCCATAGCGGTTGCATTGACCTAGGACGGTAATCTTGCCACTAATAAATTCCTATCAGTTTGATAGTAGTGACGTATGCCTACTTAGTCAGAGTAAGGCAAAGCCGTCACCGGCAGCAGCAGCGGAAGCTGCTGCGGCGGCGGCGGGTGCGGAGGCGACCAAAGCCGCGGCCCCGCCTCCCGTCGTTACCATGACGGCGCACCGCAAGGGGTCCTCCGCGCGCCCCTCCGCCACGCTCCGCGGAAGCGCGGGCGGCGGAGGGGGCCCCGCGGGGGCGTTCGTGTGCGCTGCTCTAGATACCGCACCTGGGGCTAGCGGCTCGCCTAGTAGCAGAGGTTCCGCCAATGGCGTCGGGAATGGCGGAGGCAGCAGTAACGGAAATGGGAATGCGGTCGGTGGTGGTAGTTCCGGTGCTGCTGCTGATGCTGCTGGTGCTGCTGGTGGTGGTGGCAGCAGTGGGTTGTCTGGGTCTGGGACAACACATGGGAAGGGGAGATGGAATATATGCCAGCAGTTACCTGTGATTCTACTAACGGCTACTAATATGATCATCATTTGCATGCTCTACAGGTAATTTTCTTATACACTCATTGGCATTGGCCGCTTGACGCATCAAATGTTGTGTTTTATTTTCCTCCTTTGTGTGGTGTCAGTGTTCGCTAATAGGGTTACCCGACTTATGCAATCACGGCGATGCGCGTTCAATGCACATACTACTACATGTCGCATGTCAAACTCTCACATGCGAATGTCACATGCACAGCTAATCATGGATTCTCTTCCCCCCCATCCTCTCCCCTCCTCTCCCATCCCCTCCCTTCCCCCCTTGTTCTCCCTTCGGTTCCCAATCATTTTTCCCTTCTCTTCCCTCCCTCCCCTCCCTTCTCCTCCCCTCCAATCCCCTCCCCTCTCCTCCCGTGCTCCCCCCCTTCCCTCGGCCAGTGACATATCCCACCATCACTCAGACGACTCCATATACCCTGACGACCCATCCTCCCTCTCCCTCTCCTCCCACTCCCACTCACACTCGCGCCACCACCTGCACCCGCGGCACCGATTGCAGCAAGACGCACTAGACTTGCAAGACAATGGCTTGTTGTTAGATGAGAGTGATGAAGCAGGGGATAGCAGCAGAGATCGTTTGAAGAGGCTGGGGAATGGTGATGCTGACGTGGAGGGACAAACGGCGTTGGATCGGGTTAGGGATCGATCGGACGGCTGGGATGATGAGGAGGAGAAGGGTGTCGGAGCGAGGAAGGGAGAGAAGAGGGAGGGGGAGGTGAAGGGGGTTGAGGAAGGGGAAGTGGAGAGGAGGTGGGGGGATGGCGAAGGGGAATCGGAGGATGGTGGTGATGAGGAGTATGGCGGGAAAGAGGGAAAGAAACGGAGGGGCAAGAGTTGGAAGAAGAGGAGGAGGAGGAGGAGGAGGAGGAGGAGGAGGAAGCAAAACGCAGAGGGCCGAAATGAAGACAGAATTGATGATTATGGGAAGGAAATTGATGGAGGTGCAGCTGGAAGCTCAGCCGCAGCAGGTGATGTTTCAGGTGATTTTTCAAGTGGTGGTCCAGGGTCCGACTTAGGACAAGGCAATCCGGTTGGGAGAGAAAGAACTAGGAGAAAATCGAAGAAAAAACGTACTGAGGGAGACGAGGAAGAGGTGGAAGGGGAGAGAGCAACAGAGATGGACGAGGAGAGGCAAGGAGGGGAAATGCGGGATGGGGGAAGGGATAGGAAATTGGATGGCGAAGGGGAGAACGGGGAAGCAAAGGAAAGAGATGATGAAGGGGAGAGAGGCTGGGAGGCAGGAGGAGAGAGAGGAAGAGGCAGGGAAGCAATTGAAGGCAATACGGAACGGGAAAGAGAAAGTGGGGGGGATAGAAGCAAGAGGATATGGGAGCAGGGAAAAGGTGAGAGCTCGAGGATGGAAAGAGGGGATGGGAAAGGGAGTAAGGGAGGAGAGGAAGGGTTGATTGCAGAATGGAGGAGATCTGGAGAGGAGAGGAGGAGTGCGGAGGAGGAGAGGAGGAATGGAAAGGTGAGCCCTTGGCATAGAGATTTCGTTGAGGAGGGTGGGAGAGACGCTGAGGGGAGACAGATGCAAGCGGTTGGTGGGAACATGCAAGGGGATGCAGGGAGGGAGGGTGGTAGCGTTGGTGGAATCAGACAAGTCGTAGAGCGGCAGAGGGAGCAGCAGAAGCAACAGGAGGAGGACGCGCAACAGAAGCGGCTGGGACAGGGGCAGCAGAGGGAGTTGGTTCAACAGAGAGAGAAGCAGCATACAGGGGAGCATCAGGTGCAAGAGCAACACAAGGGGCAGAGGCAGCAGCAGAAGCGGGAGCAGCCCAGTGAGGGGAATAGAAGAGTGGGATCAGAAGGAAGAGAAGGACATGTGCAGAATGGGTCAGATAGGGGGTTTTCCTCTTCCCCACTGCTCTCAAGCCTCTCTCTCCCTTCACCTTCCCTTTCTTCTCCCACGCTCCCTCCTGCTCCTCGTGCTCCTCCGCTCCACACCCCTCTTCCATCCCTCACTTCTACTCCTACAAAATCCTCTTCTCCCCACACAATCCCCTCTCCTTCCCAAGCCTCCGCGCTGCCTCCTCCTTCCCCATCCCTCTCCTCCCCCCGTTCGCATCTCGCTCCCCCATCCTCGCACTCTCCCCCTCCTCCTTCCTCTCACGTTCCCTCTTTGTCTCTCTCCCCTTCTCTGTCAGTTTCACCATCCTCCTTGATAACCCAATCGGGAAGGGCTCTTTCCCCCCCTTCCCTTTCCACCAACAAGGGGGGTCACGGAGGGATCCAGCAGCAGTCGCAGCAGCAGCAACAACAGCAACAGAATCAGAAGAAGAAAAAGACCAAGGAATTGCAACAGCAGGGGCAGAAACGGCAGGAGAATAACCAAGAGAATGTGCAGCAGAAGCAGCACCAACAGCAGCAGAAAAAGCAGCGTGAGCAGCGGCAGCAAGGGAGCAGCAAGGTAGTAGGAGTTTCGACTGAGCCTGCTTGGTCTAAAGTAAGAGCTTACCTATTTCAGGTAGCGTGGAATTAAATCTTCCTGCACTGCTCTTCTCTGCATCTAAGCCCCCAATCTGCATTGTTTGTCGGAGAAACCCCTCTTGCGTTACCTGCTTCTGTCCTTGTACTCCTGCTGCTTTCTCCTTCTCACCCTTGTATCTATCTTGTCCCTGTCCCCTGGTTCCCTTCTTCGTACTCAGCCACTACCGAGAGATTTCCGCTCCCACTCGATGGCTGCCCACAGTGGTTTAGAGCTACCTAGCTGGAGTTAGCTTGAAACGGCAACTTCAATCCACTATACGAGGCAAACAAACGAGAGAACAGGGATGCGATTGCTACCCTAGGCTACTTTATTCACCCTCACCCGTGTTGCCAATTTCTTGGCGAGTGAATTGGGCTCGAGTCGCCTGGGCCTTGGATTGGCCGATCCTGATTTCCTGTCTCTCGAGGCTTTCTGAATCCAACCCCTTTGTACCCAGCAGTGCCCTATTCTACCAACTTCACGTCACCCTCCAGAACCCAACCAACCCTCGCTGAAACTGAATACTACAAGCTACACCCCTCTACACCTCACAAGCATGTAACAGGACATAATGCTTTTACCTTATTGTTCTGTGACAGCTGTCGGAGAAACCCCTCTTGCGTTACCTGCTTGTGTCCTTGTACTCCTGCTGCTTTCTCCTTCTCACCCTTGCATCTATCTTGTCCCTGTCCCCTGGTTCCCTTCTTCGTACTCAGCCACTACCTGCCCCCTCCTGTGCTCGTGCTCAAGCTGCTCGGGCCCGAGACACAGGACTTCCCAGCTGAGGACGGCTGCTCTTCATCCGTGCCTTGTGGGTCTGGTTCCTGCCACGGTCAGCTCTCTCTTCGTCTTCTCCAGCTCCAGTACTCCCACACTTCGCCCCGCTTGCACCCGCCCCCTCTTCTGTTGTCCTCCTTTGTCCGTCTCTGTCCGCCCTGCCCCTACAGCTTCTTCTGTCCCCCTGCCACCCAGCTGCTGCCGCTGTTCATAGCTGCACGCATCCCCCATCTGCACCACATGTAGGTCCTCCACCAATGCCAGTATCACTTCCTTCAGGTGTCCTACTGCCTTGCCTCCCTCCCAGGCCGCCCACTTCTCAGCCTCTTCCATTCCCCTGGATTCTGACAGCACCTGGGATGCTAGCCGCATCGGCTCATCTGCCCATGTTCCTCCCTTAATCCACCTTACCGTCTTCACGGCCTCTTCTGCTTCCTGACTCGTCGCATTTTCCATTGTATGCTGCCTTTCTTCCCCCACAGGCAGGCACTCCCATGCCCCCACTTCCTTGCTCTCCCTCTCTGCTTCCTCTTGCTCCTGGGCTTTGTCCCACACTGGACCTTCCCATCCTCCTACCCGTAGGTCTCCTGTCCCCCAGTCGCACGCCATCCCTACTTTTATGCTCCTCACACCCGTCTCAGCTCCTCTCACGGCTTCTTTTACCATTTTCTCCCCCAGCAGCTCCGGACGTTCTTCCCTCAGCTTCCTCACATGCTGCTCCGCCCTCATACTTCCCTGCACTTGCTTCTCTGCCTTTAGTACACACGGTCGTGCCCCCACCTTCTCGTCCTTCCGTTCTGCCTCTGCTACTGCAGGTACACACGCTCCCGCCCCCACCTGCTCTTCCTTTTCCTCTGCCTTCGCTGCTGCTGTTACACACACACCCGCCCCCACCTTCTCGTCCTTTTCTTCTGCTTCCGCTGCTGCTGTTACACACGCTCCTGCCCCCACTTGCTCGTCCTTCTCCTCTGCTTCTGCTGCTGCTGGTGCACACACCCATGCCCCCACTTGCTCGTCCTTCTCCTCTGCTTCTGCTGCTGCTGGTGCACACTCCCATGCCCCCACCTGCTCGTCCTTTTCTTCCGCACCGGCTGCTACCAGTTCACACGCCCCTGCCCCCTCCTTCTCGTCCTTCTCCTCCCCTTCTGCTGCTGCCCATGCCCCCACCTTCTCGTCCTTCCTTTCCGCGCCTACCGCTACCGGTTCATCCGCCCATGCCCCCACCTTCTTGTCCTTTTCTTCCGTTTCTGGTGTTACTTGCACACACACCCATGCCCCCACCTTACTCACTTGCTTCCTTCGTCCGTCCCTGCCCCCACTGCTCCACCCCAGGTTTTCATGGCGACGCAGCACCGCACAGGAGTGCTCTGGCTCATGCTCCTCTTCCTCCTCTTCCTCTTCCCTCGCGTACACTCCTGGTTCTTTCTCCTTCTTGCCTCCCAAAGCCTGCAGCTGAGCCCGCAGCCTTCCTATCTGTGTTTCTACCTCCTCTTGTGACCTCCTTGCTCTGGTGATCGCCATCCGCCCAACGCCATGCGCCTCCTGCGCTCATGTCCGCGTCTTGGCTCAGGCGAGCTATACACTCCCGCCTGCACGTCCCGCCTCCTTTCTTCCTCACGGCTGGCTCCTGGCGCGCGCTCAGTCTCCTTGCCTTCACCGCGCCTCGCGTTACTTCCGCGCAGCCTGCCTGGCGAGCGATCCGCATCCGCGCTCCCGCGGCGCCTTGCGCCATTCTCAGGCATTTCGCCCGCCGAACTGTCTGCATCCGCGCTCCCGCAGCGTCTCGTGTCATTCCCGCGCATTCCGTCAGTCGAACCGGCTGCATCCGCACCCCCGCGGCGCCTCGCACCCCCGCGCATGTCGCCAGCAGAACGATCTGCATTCATGCTCCCGCGGCGCCTCGCACTTCCCTCGCGCATCTCTTCTCGCGCGCGATCTGCTGCCATGTCCTCGTGGCGCCGCGCGCCACCCCCGCGCATCTCGTTCGCCGAACGATCTTCTTCCATTACACATCCGCGTTCTTCGCGTCCATCTCTGCCATCGCTTTGCAGATCGTCCTCTTTCGCATCCGCCCGTTCTTCTCCGCGGCGCCTCGCGCCATTCCCACCCATTTCGTTTTCGTCCGTCGCACCAGCTGCATCCCCGCTGCCATGAAGCCTTTCGCCACTCCCATCTGTTTCGTCCGTCGCACCAGCTGCATCCGCGCTCTCGCGGCGCCTCGCGCTTCCCTTGCGCCTGTCGTCCGGCGAGCAATCCGCAGCCGTGTTCCCTCGACACCTCACTCTGCCTTCTTCACACATCCCCTCTAATGGAGGATCTGTTTCCGCGTCGCTATTACGCTCTTCTGCACCTCGATTCTGCAGATCTGCCTCCTCCCTGCCTAGGCGTTGTTCCCCGCCGCCCCGCGCAGTGGTGACACCTTCGCAATCTCCCTCGTCGTCAGCCTTCCTTGCTGATTCCGGCGAGTCCGTCATATCCGCGTCGTCATGACGCCCTTCTCCCGCTCCTTGCTGGCCACCTGCCAGATTCCAAGGATCACTTCCGGACGGACGAGGCCTGGGCTCCGCCTTCGCATGCGGATCGCCCTGGCTTCCTCCTCGTCGCCCTCGTATAGGTGAGCCCCCATCCGCGCGGTACGCCGGCCTCCGTGGCGAACGCGTCCGCGATCTCCCGCGCTCCAATGAGCGCATCCTCCGCGACGGTGAAAACTCCCGACGCGAGTCCATCTGCTGCCAACGCAGCTCGTGGCAGTCCATACCGCCAAAGCTGTTCTCTCGTTTGTGAGAGATTTCCGCTCCCACTCGATGGCTGCCCACAGTGGTTTAGAGCTACCTAGCTGGAGTTAGCTTGAAACGGCAACTTCAATCCACTATACGAGGCAAACAAACGAGAGAACAGGGATGCGATTGCTACCCTAGGCTACTTTATTCACCCTCACCCGTGTTGCCAATTTCTTGGCGAGTGAATTGGGCTCGAGTCGCCTGGGCCTTGGATTGGCCGATCCTGATTTCCTGTCTCTCGAGGCTTTCTGAATCCAACCCCTTTGTACCCAGCAGTGCCCTATTCTACCAACTTCACATCACCCTCCAGAACCCAACCAACCCTCGCTGAAACTGAATACTACAAGCTACACCCCTCTACACCTCACAAGCATGTAACAGAACATAATGCTTTTACCTTTATGTTCTGTGACATGTTTTGTTCTGTTCTGTTTGTTTGTTCTTTTCCATTTTTCTTTCTCTCCATTGCCCCCCTCTCCCTTCTTGGCCGTTTTCCTACCTTCTCCTGTCGTTCCCCCTAACCCTTCAGACCCAAGCCCACCACCCCTGGTCTATTTCAGAGGCATGAGGCACCTTATAACTTTCTTTCCTCTCTTCTCTCAGACACTCTTTATCTTTCACTCCCTCCCTTCCTCTCTCCTCCCCCTCCCCTCCTGCCTCCCGCCCGCGCACCACGGCAGAGTGGCTTTGTGCTGTTCAGCGGCTACCGTGCATCCATGGACTCATTCGTTGCCATTGGCCTGCACCATTTTGGCAACAGCACCAGCACCACCATGGTCCAAGCCCAATCGTGCGAGTACGTGTGAGCTGTGCATTTTTGAGACGTCTCAAAAGCCACCAGCACCACTATGTTCCAAGCCCAATCGTGCGAGTACGTGTGAGCTGGGTACAATAGGAAGCGCCTATGCTCGTGGCGTCTGGTTTTGTTGCGCCTCAAAACAATAGGCCTCCAGGGCAGTAGCAGCAGCACCACAAACACGCCCCTGCCCACTCTTGCAAGTGTGTGTGTTGTGTGTTGTGTGTGTGTGTGTGTGTGTGTGTGAGCTGTTCTGCATACAGCCGAGTTGAGGGAGGGAGCTGCGTCCAAGCGAACGCTGAATTTCCAACAACGTGTGTCGAACCATGTGCCTGATGCTCCCCAATTGCCTTCTTCCCGCCCCTCTTTCCCCCTCTCACCCCGACCAGGTGGGTGGAGAAGAACGGAGACCGGCATGTGGGTCAAGTCACGGTGAAGGATCCATCTCACGCCCACCCACCGAAACACCTGCAATCCGCCACCCTTACTACCGCTGCTGGCGCTGCCGCTGCTGCTGGCAAACTTCCAGCAGCAGCGGGAGAAAAGGGAGCAGCAGCACGAGCAGCAGGCGGCAGCGGCAGTGGCGGCAGTGGGGCCGGTGCGGCCAGTGGGGCTGGTGCAGTTGGGTCAGCAGAGACGGTGGTGCTGGTGTGTTTGCTGGGTGAGGAGGCGAGTCTTCGCACGGGTGGGCAGCTGCGCATGGAGGTGAATGGGGAGGACGTGCTGGTGTATGAGGAGGAGGGCAACCAGGGGTTCCGCCACAGATTCGGCGTGAGTTTTTTATTTGATATGATACGATTTAGTTTCGCTGCAATACCATCTGATTTTGTTTGGTATTATTTGGCTTTTGTCTGATTTCGTTTTCTGGTGCCTCAAGATTGTCTCACTTGTGCTTCCTCTTGCAGCTCTCCGTCTCCTCTTCTCTTCCCTCCTCACTTCGCTCCTCTCTTCCCTCCTCTCGTCCCTCCTTTCTTCCCTCCTCACTTCTCCTCTTGCCTCCTCCTCCTTCCGCTCCCTCCCCAGGACGAGGAGACGCTGAGCTACAATCTCATGTACTGCAGCACGCCCATACACGTGGCCGTGCACGCTGTCAGATTCGCGCAGTGGCTCAACTTCCACCGCACTGTGCACCATGTGAGTCACGGCACTGTGCACCATGTGAGTCACGGCACTGTGCACCATGTGAGTCACGGCACTGTGCACCATGTGAGTCACGGCACTGTGCACCATGTGAGGCGCTGAGAGAGAGGGAGAGAGGCAGAGTGCACCATGTGAGTCACGGCACTGTGCACCATGTGAGGCGCTGAGAGAGAGGGAGAGAGGCAGAGTGCACCATGTGAGTCACGGCACTGTGCACCATGTGAGGCGCTGAGAGAGAGGGAGAGTGCACCATGTGAGTCACGGCACTGTTCACCATGTGAGTCACGGCACTGTGCACCATGTGAGGCGCTGAGAGAGAGGGAGAGAGGCAGAGTGCACCATGTGAGTCACGGCACTGTGCACCATGTGAGGCGCTGAGAGAGAGGGGATTCAGCATGTGAGGCACCACATGAGCCACTGTCCTGCTGCACAAGTTCTTATTTGATTAATCCACCTGCACCTCACTGCACCGTGTGAGGGCTGCTGGGGGTTAGGACGAGAGAGAGGGCTGGGGAGCTCGTGATAAAGGAGGGGGTGTAAAGCACATAATAGGCGCCTCACTTCAAGGCAACCATAAGGTTGAACGATATGTGAGGCGCCTCAAAAATCGCTTCAGTCCAAGGCAACCATAAGGTTGAACGATATTCAAAAACTTGATCATGCCACCAACCATCCACCCCAACCTCCATCTTCCCTTTTCCATCTTTTCCCTTTTCCCCACCTCCACCCCCCTTGCCCGGCTTGTCCGCCCTCCCCCATTTTGTTTTTTTTTTTTTTTGTTTTTTGTTTTTGTTTTTTTTTTTTGTTTTTTTTTGTTTTTTTTTTTGTTTTTTTTCCATTTTCAGCCTTCCCCTTCCTCCCGTCTCTCTCCCTCGTCCTTTCCCCGTTCCCCGTGTGCCAGGTGGACTATTTCCAGCTGTACGATGCGGGTGGCGTGGAGGAGCGGCTGCTGCAGCAGCTGGCGCCGGCCATAGAGGCGCGGGCAGCGGCAGTCATGGACATGCGCGCCGTGGCAGGGCGGGATGGCACGGCGCATGGGCAGGTGGGTGGGTGCATGGGTAGGCTGGAGGGGTGGGTGCATCTGGTGTCCGTCTGCCGGCCGTAGAGGCGCGGGCAGCGGCAGTCATGGACATGCGCACCGTGGCGGGGCGGGATGGCACGGCGCATGGGCAGGTGGGTGCATGGGTAGGTGGGTGCATGGGCAGGTGGGTGGGTGCATGGGTAGGTGGGTGGGTGCATGGGCAGGTGGGTGGGTGCATGGGCAGGTGGGTGGGTGCATGGGCAGGTGGGTGGGTGCATGGGCAGGTGGGTGGGTGCATGGGTAGGTGGGTGGGTGCATGGGCAGGTGGGTGGGTGCATGGGCAGGTGGGTGGGTGCATGGGTAGGATGGAGGGATGGGTGCGTCTGGTCTCCGTCTGCCGGCCATAGAGGCGCGGGCAGCGGCCGTCATGGACATGCGCGCCGTGGCAGGGCGGGATGGCACGGCGCATGGGCAGGTGGGTGGTTGGGCTGTGAGCAACGGCAGGTGTGCTTGCTCCGTCTTCCAGCCATAGAGGCGCGGGCAGTGGCAGTCCAGGACATGCGTGCCGTGGCAGGACGGATGGGACGGCGCATAGACAAGTGGGAAGAAGGACAGGGGCAGGTGGGGGGATGATGGCATAGGCAAGCGGGAGGGGAGAGTGCATGGGTATGGCAGGGCAGGTGGGGGCCTGTGGTCTGCTTGCTATTTGGAAGAAGGGCAGGTGGGAGGAAGGGCAGATGGATGCACCGCGCTGTGCTTTTCATGCCTCACCCACCAACCTGCATTCCCATCAACCAACCTGCCCCACTCCCCTCACCCCTTGCTCCCTCTCCTCCCTTTCCCCAATTCCCCGCCTTTTCTCAAAACTTCTAGTTCCCCCAACTTTCGTCCCCGCTTCCCCATTCCCTCTCACCTTTCCTCCCCGCCTTCTCCCATTCTCTCCCTAACCACCTAACCACCAGCTACTGCCATTCCATGACTGCCTGTACTTTGCGCGCACAGCGACGCGCTATCCTTTGCACTCCACACTCCGTCCTTCCACCAATCAACCTCCCTTCCACCCTTCCCCGCCCCACCTGTCTCCCCCTCTATCTCCCCAACCACCAGCTACTGGCATTCCATGACTGTCTGTACTTAGCACGCACGGCAGGGCGCAGTGCTCCCACATCACACTCACACTACATCCTCCAACCAGTCCACCTTCCCTTCACTTCACCCCTCCCCCTTCCTTCCCCCCCTCTCCCTAACCACCAGCTTCTGGCATTCCATGACTGTCTGTACTTTGCGCGCACGGCAGCGCGGTGGGCTCTCTTCCTGCACCCTGACGAGTACCTTCTGGTGCAGCAGCCGCCGCACTCCATCGCCCACGTGCTTGTGCTGCACCAGGTGGGATGGGAGGCATGTGGATGGGTGTGTGTAAGTGGGTGTGTAGGTGTCGAGCCGTGGGTGGGTGTGGGTTTTGGGTGCACTGGGTGTTGTTCCTCGTAAGATGGGTGTGTGAGTCAAAGGATGCAACCTCACCAGGTGGGTGGGATGAGTGTGTGTGGGCGTGTGTGTTTGTGGGGGGTTGAAAGGTGTGGAGGGGTGGGTGGGTGTGGCCCCGCACTCCATCACTCATGTGCTCGCATCGCACTACACCTGGTGGGATGGGATGTGTGGGTGGGTGTGCATGGATGTGTGGGTGTGTGGTTGTGTGGGTGCACTAAGTGCAGTACTTTTCAAGTGTGTGCGAATGCAATCCTCTCAATGCGTCTCAGCATCCCTCCCCTCCCTCATCCTCTCAACCCCCTGCTCAATCTCTCCCCCCTCCCCCCCTTCCTCTTTCACCACCATCCGGAGCACTTTGAAACGTTCTGCTTCTTATCAGACACCCCCCTTCTGCTCCCTGCACCTCCTTTTTCCGAATCGACTCAGAATTTCTGAGCACACCACCCCCTCCCGTCCTTCCCCCCGCCCTTCCCCCGTCCTCCATCCCACCCACAGCAATCCTCGCACGTCACCTTTGGAGCCTTCCGCTTCCTCACAGACACATGCCCCACCACCCATGCCAACCCTCTCGCCCTGCCCACTCACGGCCAAGGCCAGCAGCAGCGGCTGGGGAAGGGGCAGGGGAAGGGGAAGGGGCAGGGGCAGGAGAAGAGAGACGGAACGGCAGGAGGCATGGAAGCAGTAGCAGGGGGGAGGAGAGGGGAGGTCGAGGTGGAGGGCTGGGCGGTGGAGGGGATGGTATGGAGGGAGGCAGAACCTGCATGCAGGAACACATCGCAGTACCCAGATAGAAGCATGTGCCTGGAGGGGGTGGGGCAGCGCAAATTTGTGGTTGATCCCAGGCGAACCCACATGCTGGCTGTGAGTGCATCTTCTCTTTCAGAATTCTTAAAGACACACTGTAACTTGAAGGCAAGTTTGCGGTGAGTCCCAGGCATGTGCTTGCTGTGAGTGCATACAAGCGCTCTCTTTCTTCCCCCTGCTGCACTGCACTGCCCTTGCTCACACAAGACGCATATTGCACCATATCTTGCCTTTGCATTTGTGTGAGCAAACACACTCACTCTTACCCCTGCTGCGCTGCTCTTGCTACTCCATCAGGCTTCCTGGCAGCAGAGCAAGTGTGGAACACTGGTGTGAATGCACATCGTGTAATATTAAACTCTGGAAAGAAGCAACGGTCACATGCATAACCCTAAAACCCATACACCCACCCTCCCTCGGAACACCCACACAGGTGCACAAGGTCCTGGAGCCATGGGCAGGGGAGGTGAATCTGCCCGCCACAGCAGTGCAGTGCACATCAGTCACTTCCCCAGCCTCACCTCTCGCCACCTGCTGCTCTTGTTGCTCCATCTCCCCTCGGAAACCCCACACAGGTGCACAAGGTGCTAGAGCCACGAGCAGGGGAGGTGAATCTGCCCGCCACAGCAGTGCACATCAGTCACTTCCCCAGCCTCACTTCTCGCCACCTGCGCCCCTGTAGCAAGACCCTCTCGCCGGAGGAGGTTTCTGCACGGCGCCTGGTGCTCGATAGCTCCGTTGCTGACCTTGTTCGGGCTGTTCGTGTGGCTGCAGAGACTGTGGCTGCTGCTGCTCGTGGCGCTGGTGGTGCTGCTGGTGTTGCTGGTGTTGGTGCTGGTGGTGCTGGTGTTGCTGGTGTTGGTGCTGGTGGTGCTGGTGGTGCTGGTGTTGCTGGTGTTGGTGCTGGTGGTGCTGGTGCTCGTGGCGCTGTTGGTGCTGGTGCTGGTAGTAGTGTTTCCAATGGTGTTGCCGTGGCGGCCAGTTAAACACTGATGCACACCATAGCTTCTAACAAACAAACTCCTAACACACCAGCACCAGCAGTCTTCCAACCCACCCACCACCACAGCTTCCACTCTTTGTGCCCGAAAAATCATAATCTTGACAACGAGTCAACGACATGCCAGTCCCCTCGTCTCACCAAGGAAGGATGCGGTACGGCACAAAGAGGAATGACCCTCCAAGTCAATTACTTACCTAGGTGTGTTGCCTAACTTGCTTGACCATGCACTCTGGGAAGATGCAGCAGATGATACGGTAATACGGTATGCCCTTCACGAGCCCTGTTGTGCTGCTGCACTGCCGTCTAACAACCTGTCTGTCTGTTTTTACAGTGGTATGGTACATTACCTATATGCCCTTGAGTATTCAATCCTTTGGAGTGTGAAGTCACAGTTTAGCATTTCCTAACGATCCGGGTATCAGTGCCAGGATAATTCAGGTTCTCTAACAGCGTTTTCAAACTCACTTGCATAAGCATTGTTAAAGCCAGCAGCTAAAAGAGTGACCCCCCCCTTCTAGTTGGGTCCACTTGAATTCTTTACGGAAGTTTGGGTGGTGTTATGTTCTTTTTTTTTTGTCAAACACGTTTGATACTCGTGTGAGTCTTCGCATATTTTATCCAACAAAAGGCGTCGCAAGCATGTGCACTGCAAATGTGTCGCAAGTTTGCGACACGCAAGTCTCATTCACATGCAGTGCCAATTTCACAGATGTGGAATTCACGCACAGCAAAACGCCTTAGGGTGTGTAAGTCGCTGATAGTCCGGACGGCTGTTCGGACGCGTGCGAAGATTGCGACGTCGTACGGTCGCTTTGCGACCAAAGCGAAGTCGTAAGGAGGCAATACGAAGGATACGACGTTGTTTAGACCCTAACGAGCTCACTGCCGAGAATTAACGAGTTCTGTAACCACACAATCGTCCGGACGATTGGCCATCCGGACGAAAAAAATAAAAACTGTAACACACCCTTAGCCAAAAACCTGTATGGCGGCAAGAACAGCATTGAGGAACAAAAAGAACGGAAAAACCAGAGAGTTAGCAGGGTGACCAGAGAAGAACGCGACAGGGCGACGGAAACGGGGCGCGAGGAGAGATATAAGTGTGCACAAATCGCAACGGGGCGTGAGGAGAGATATAAATGTGCAAAAATCGCGGAAAGAGGTAGGGTGATGGGAGGGCAGGGAAGAAGGGCGCGAAGAGCACGACGACTGCATCTTGCGATGGCGACGGGAAGGGAGGGGAGAGCTCGATGGCGACGGGAAGGGAGGGGAGAGAGCGAGGGCAACGGGAAGGGAGGGGAGAGAGAGAGAGAGAGGGCGACGGGAAGGGAGGGGAGAGAGAGAGGGCGACGGGAAGGGAGGGGAGAGAGAGAGGGCGACAGGAAGCGAGGGGAGAGAGCGAGGGCGACGGGAAGGGAGGGGAGAGAGCGAGGGCGACGGGAAGGGAGGGGAGAGAGAGAGGGCGACGGGAAGCGAGGGGAGAGAGAGAGGGCGACGGGAAGCGAGGGGAGAGAGCGAGGGCGACGGGAAGGGAGGGGAGAGAGAGAGGGCGATGGATGGATTAACTGCACGAAAAAAACAAAAGAAAAGGGCTAAAATGGGTCGCGGTAACGCGATAGCAGAGGGAGAACAAGACGGCGACGAGAGGACAAAGGAGATATAGTTGCAAAACGAGGGAACGAGAGGGTGAGTGAGAGGGCGACGAAGTGGAGATGCAAAGGGAGACTCGAAGGGCGACGGGAGGCCGATTCGAGGAGAGGCGACGGCTCCGAAGTGGAGGGGGAGAGAGGAAGGACAGTCGGAAGGCCGATTCGAGGCGACTTACCGAAATCGCGACGGAAACGAGGTGGCTCGTGGGAGAAAGGAGGGGAAGGCTGATTCGCAGGCGAATAGGGGGTGACGATTCATACTAAGCTAATATATTACGCATGTGAGCTAAGTCGATAGTTACGGCACGTGCCTAGGCCAGTAAAAAATAGGCGTTCTCAGCTATGCTATGCTACTTCGTGACTGAAAATCAGCTAGTTGTGAACCCAGTTCCAACTTGAAGTGGAAGTTCGCCCAGCGATGGAAACCATCGCTGGACAACGGTCGTGTGGGTGCAGCATGTAGAAATGCGACGGCGTGCCGTGTGCCCCAAAAATCGTTATGGCAGGATCCAGAAAATTTCATGGAGGCGTGAACCAATCAAATGAGTTCCCTCTTCCTACTCCTGTTTCGAACAGTGTTGTTTCCGCCGAACTCATCGCAGCGATTTCAAGCTGGGACGGCCTTCACAATTTTATATTTCGGTTTTAAAACAAAGTGATAACTACCACATTATCATTCTTGCAAGATGCTAAATGTCTACTGAGGTACCTGGGAAAAAAGAATCGCAGGAAGTCAAACAGTCAGAAGGGCACATCACAGTCTCAAATCTCACTAGTGAACACCATGACAGAACTGTCAAACCACATACCAAGCCTCAAGTCATTGCCTCGTTGCCCTTGCCATTACCAACCCCATCCATCACCACCCCCATCCCCATGCCCATCCCCATGCCCATCCCCATGCCCATCCCCATGCCCATCCCCATCCCCATCCCCATCCTCATCCCCATCCCCATGCCCATTGCCATGCCCATGCCCATGCCCATGCCCATGCCCATGCCCATCCCCATTCCCATCCCCATCCCCATCCTCCAGCACATCAATCACAAATACCATTGCCAGCAGCAGCATCAGCAGCAAGCCAGACAATCACCATAAATGCATTCTCCACTGTTGACCTTCAAAAGACTGCCCTTACTTTACATCCTCAATTTGCTCATCTGCCTCATACCACGCATCAGCATCAGCAGCACCACTAGCATCAGCACCAGCACTGCCAGTAACCTTGTCCTCACCATTAGCATCCGCATTACCCTTAGCATCTAAAGCAGAATCATGAGCTAAAACAAGATCGGCAGCAGCAGCAGCAGGATCAGCGTTAGCTGCATCAGCAGCAGTAGCAGTATCATTGTCAGCAGCATCAACAGCATCAGCAGCAGGAGTTTCAGCATCAGCATCACCAGCAGCAGCACCTTCACCATCAGCAGCAGCAGCACCATCACCATCAGCAGCAGCAGCAGCACCATCGCCATCAGCAGCAGCAGCAGTATCAGCAGCAGCAGCAGCAGCATCAGTATCAGCAGCATCAGCGTCAGCAGCAGCATCAGCATCAGCAGCAGCATCAGCGTCAGCCGCAGCATCAGCGTCAGCAGCAGCATCAGTGTCAGCAGCATTGCTAGCCGCATAGGCAGCTTCAGCAGCAGTGACAGCTGCACCAGCACCAGCAGCATCAGCAGCAGTAGTATCAGCATTGGCAGAAGCAGCAGCAGCAGCAGCAGCAGTATCTACATCATCATCATCATCATCAGCAGCAGCATCCGCAGCTTCAGCAGCAGTGGCAGCTGCGCCCGCAACAGCAATATCAGCCTCAGCAGCAGCACCATCAGCAACAGCAGCATCAGCATCAGCAGCAGCACCAGCAGCAGCAGAAGCAGCAGAGTCACCCTCACCCTTGCCCTTCACAGCTTCTACTCCTTCACTCTCAACCTCTTTCTCACTCCTCGACTCGCCAATCCTCGTTTCCTCCTCTTCACCACCTGCTCCTCCCTCATTCCCTCCTACCTCAACTTCCACATGCACTTCCTCCATTCCCCCTGTCACACCCTCCACTTCCCCGTTCACCTTCCCCTCATCCTTCCCCTCTCCTGCTTGCCCGCACTTCTCACATTCTACCCCTGCCATCTCTTCCTTTGACACCTTTCCCCCATCTCCAACACCCATCTCACCAGAGACACCATCTAATCCCGGATCACCCTCTACTCTCTCACCCTCCTCTGTCTTGCTCTTCTCTACCTCATCCCCATCCTCACCTTTGTTCACCTCATCATCAGCCCTCACCCCATCCTTTCCCTCTATTTCTTTCTCTCCACCCTCTGCCGTGTTCCTCTTGTCTTCCTGTGAGCCTTCTTCCTTGCCCTCCTGTACTGCTCCCCTAGAGGCATCTGCAGCAGCATCAGCACCAGCACCAGCACCAGCAGCATCAGCAGCATCAGCAGCATCAGCAACAACAGCAGCCGCACCAGCAGCATCAGCACCAGCAGCACCAGCACCAGCAGCGTCAGCACCAGCAGCATCAGCACCGGCAGCATCAGCACCAGAAGCGTCAGCACCAGCAGCATCAGCACAAGCTTGCTGATTCTTCCCTTGATCAGCTTTGCCCTCCCTTTCCTCCGTAACCATTCTCTCACCCGCCTCCTCCTCCTGCCGTCCACCCTCCTCATTCTCCTCATCATCATCCTCCCCAAAAATCATCAGTGTTGTTCTCTGCCCATTGCCTTCCTCCATCTCCTCCTCTCTCCTCCCCTCAATATCTCCTTCCTTTGCAAGCTCCCTCCCCTCCTCTCCACCCTCCCCTTCCCCCACATCACGCGCGTCGACAACTACAAGGGATGTCCTGGCACAACCACTGCACACATCCACAACCCATCCTTCTTTCAACCTTCTCCTCTCGCCTTCCACTGGCATACCAGCAGCACCGGCAGCACCGGCAGCAGGGGCAGCAGGGGCAGAACCAGCACTGGCAGAACCGGCAGCAGCAGCAGCAGAGGCACTTCCTTGAGACAACCTACACCGTACCAGTCGCACACGCCACTGCTTTCTGTTCTCTCCTCCCTCCTCCCCCTCCACCCTCCCCACTTTCCTCTGTAACTCCATCTCTCCTTTATCCCTCCCCCTCTTCCCCAATTTCACCCCAGAGCCCCCCGCCCCACCTCCTACCACTCCCATTCCACCTCTGTCTATCCTCCTCGCAATCCCCCCCGCTCCCTCCTTCCCATCCTCCTCTCTGCCTCTCTTCCTCCCATCCTCCACCCTCCCACCCTTCTCTCGCCCCTTCACTCCTTTCAGCGCTGCAGCAGCAGCAGCTTCAGCTGCATTAACCCGTTTCCAAGAAGCCCCAGCAGCCACTTCAGCACCCCTTTTAACCCCTGCCAACCCCTTACTCTCCTCTGCTTTCCCCGCCCCCTCACCTTCCTTCACCAACCCACCCTTTTTCTTCCCAGACTTGCTCTGTGGGCTCACTACAGTTAACACTTTCCCTTCTTCCATCTTAGAAGCCTTTTTGACAGTTTCGCCGGGGAAAACAATACGGTTGAACACACTTACCTGTTGCGGTTTTGAGTTTCGCCGGAAAAGAGCAATGAGGGTTGATACCTGATCAAGCACAAAAGGATCATGAAGTTGGTCAGAATGGGGTTGACAGAGGCGCACACCAGCACCTTATAGATAGGCCACATTTTCCTTAAGGCGCATGGAGAATGGTCTCGGATGTCTAAGCGCCTCACAACTTGTTTCAAAGACGACAGCATCAAGTTGAGAGGTCACATCAGTAATAATAAGCAAAGAGCGGTTTTAAACAATCAAACTTCAATAATAAACAGGTCCATGGCAGAGGGAACTGATTTAGAGTGGTATTATTCAAGGTTGCTTAGGATTGCATGGTATAGTCAAGGGCGGTGGGGCAGGGAACGGCGGGAGAGACAGCGAGGAGGAGGGAGAGAAGGAGAGGGAAGAAACGGAGGGAGCGGGAAGGAGAACACGAGATGCACACCTGTTGGTCTGTGAGGGTGAACGAGTATCTGTTTTTGAGGCGCCTCAAAAGTTGTTTTTGAGGCGCCTCGAAAGTTGTTTTTGAGGCGCCTTGAAATGGAGGGAGCGGGAAGGTGAGCACCAGATGCGCACCTGTTGGTCTGTGAGGGTGAACGAGTATCTGCGGTTTTTATAGACATTGTCCCTTATCGCAGACTTGAACTCTGCCTCCTTGAGTGCGGGAAACTCCTCCTCCACCTCAAAACGCACCTGCTTGGGTCACATGCATGCACACACACATGCAGACACACATGCACGCATCCAGACACACGCACAGTCGCGCACAATCATGCACACACACGCGTACACACCCAGGTGCACATGCATTACATGCGAATCAAGCACAAGCACATGTATGCATGTACATATATACACACATGCGTGCATGCACACATGAACACATGCACATCCACAAACCCAGAAGCAAATCAATGAGCCAGCGAACCAAAAAGACTCTGAAAGTGCAAGACAGTGCGAGACAAATGCATCAGCCAGATAACCCGGGGAGGAACGAATCCCTGCAAGTACAAACAAACCGCACGCAACGAGCAGAAAAAAGGGCACCCTCCACACTTCCAAGCATCCATTCCATTTCTTTGTCCTTAGTACTTATGCTCCAACGAAACATGAAATGATCCGATGTTCGCATCCATGCCCATCCCCACAGCCAAGATCATAACCGCCCTGACATCTCCCTATGCAACTTCTCATTCCAAACCAAACCGAGGAAGTCAACGCGAGTGCTCACCACACGCTACCCCCCTATTGACCCCATGCCCATCTCACACACGCACGCACGCCACTCACAAGCACCCACCTGCCAGGGGAAGCGGCCTTGCCACGCGTCCCTCACCAGGGCGCAGCCTCCCTTGCCGCGTGCAACGTACACGCCATGCATCACACGATCCTCAAAGTTGAAGAGGAACAGCCGCGTGCCCTTCTCTATGCGCTCAATTTCACGGCAGTGGGTGGACGTGCTCCCGAACAGCCCCCGGTCGTAGCACTCTTGCTTTGTGAGGTTCGTGCACCCGAAAATGTACCCAGGAAGAGCGTTAGAGCTGGGTTGATCGCTGTCTTTCTCCTTGCCCTTCTCCTTCTCTTTTGCCTTCTCCTTCTCTGTAGCCTTCTCTCGCTCCTTGGTTGTTCCCTTGTAATCGAGCCGCTCCTTCACTGTCTGCTTCTCCTTCTCCTTCACCTTCTCCTTTTCCTTGTCTTTCTCCTTATCTTTCTCCTTCTCATTCTGCTTCTGCTTCTCCTTCTCCTTCTCCTTCTCCTTCTCCTTCTCCTTCTCCTTCTCCTTCTCACTTTCCTTCTGCTTGTCCTTCTCCTCCTTCTCCTTCTTGTCCCGTGGCTTGCTGGCATCTAACAACTTCTCCTTCTCTTTTGTTCTCTCATCCTTCTCTTTCTCCTTCTGACCCTCTCGTCGCCCCTCCTTCTCCTTCTGCAACTGCCGCTCTTTCTCCCGCTCTTTCTCACGAGTCTTCTCTCTCTCCCTCTCCCTCTCCTTATCCCTAACTCTATCCCTTTCCTTCAGCCTCTCTCGATCTCTCTCCCTCATTCTCTCCCTCTCCCTGTCTCTCTCCTGCTCCCTCCCCCTCTCTCTTTCCCACTCCCTTCTCCTCTCCCCAACTTTATCCATCCTGCCACCCACACCAGTCATATCCACATGCACCACGCGACCATACTCAGCAGCCTCAACTCTTCCCCCCGCATGGCCCTGCACAGCACGCACGTCCGCATACCCCGGCTGCCCTGGAAACAGGGTCACAGGAACAACCGTCCTCCGCCCACCTTGCTCCCTGCCCTCTTCCCCTGGCCCTTGCGGAGACGCTCGGGCCGTGATGCGAACCGTTCTTGTGGGAAGAGCAGGAGAGTGGGTGGACGGTGGGAGAGTCCCGCCAAAGTCTGGTTGCTGAACAGGCACCTGATGGGGCTGATACGCAGGAAACCCAACCCGTCTAACACCATCAGCAGCACCAGCGCTACCAGCGGCAGCTGCAGCACCTGCGGCAGCAGCTGCTGGCATGGCCGGGTGATGAGCGTGGCCCGGGGCAAGGAGCATATGAGGATGCATGTGGGAGGGTTGCAGGTGTGGGGCAGGGGCGGTGGCACCGTAAACCACATGTTGTGCTGGGTGACGGTTAGGGAAGACAAGCTGCGGAGTGCCAGGGGCAACAGCAGCAGCGGGAGCAGCCCCAGAGGCAACATCAGGCGCAGGAGCCCCGGAAGCAGCCGCAGCAGGAGCAGGAAGAGAGACAGGACCAGGAGCAGCAGCAGGGGCAGCAACAGGAGGAGCCGAAGCCACGTAGACCAATTTGACGCCAGTCCCGTCGTAGATGTGCATTGGAATGCCCATGCCCGCTGGTACAATATGAACCGGTTTGCCTGGCTCGACCATGCCAGGCATGCCTGCTGCTTGGAGCCCTCCCGCTTGCCCATACACCATGGCTGCGTTTGCAGGCTGCATGTTTGATCCTGGAGCAGCAGAGTAGATCATTGTTGATGGTGGCAGCTGGTTGGAAGCGTGCGGAAAGGAAGCGGGAACCGCAGCAGGAGCAGCAGAGGCAGGAGCAGCAGAGGCAGGAGCAGCAGAGGCAGGAGCAGCAGTGCCTGCAGGTGCTGTAGCTGAAGCGCCATACTGCTGCTGCGGAGGAGCGTATCTCGTTGCGTCCAGGTTCGATGAATCATACTGAGCCCCCTGACTCCGTCCGGCACGCAGAGCGTATGTCATTGGAGCCATATCCTGCAGCAACAGCTCCTCCTCGCGCTGCCTCTGCTGCCACTGCTGCAGCTCCAGCTCTCTTCCCCTGTCTCTCCCGGGATCTCTCTCCCTCTCCTTCTCAATATATCTCTCCCTCTCCTTCAACCTCTCCCATTCCCTTACCCTCTCCCTTTCCCTCTCCCTTTCTCTCTCCATCTCCCTCTCCCTCTCCCTCTCCCTCTCACGCTCACGCTCCCTCTCCCGCTCCCTCTCCCTCTCCCGCTCCCATTCACCCACACCCATCACGACACCTCCTCCTCTTCCGCCCGCACCACTCCTACCACCAAGATATCCAGCATCATCTCTCCTCCCCCGCTCTCTCTCCTCCCCCCTCCTCCCCTCCCTCCTGCTACCCCCAGCCATTTCCCTCTCCCGAAGAGCAGTGGCAGCAGCAGCACGCGCTCTATCCCCTAAAACCCCACCATCCCCTCCGCCCCCACGCTCTTGCCACTGCGAAAATGCCACCTGTTCATGCTGCGGCAGCTGCTGATGCCGGTGCAGCTGCTGCTGTTGCTGCTGCTGTTGCTGCTGCTGCTGCTGGTTGTACTGCCTAGGTTGGTCCACGGGGACGAAGGGAGCGCCTCTCAACTGCACGTTCCCCTCCCTCTCGCTCCTGTTGCCCCTATCCAACCTTCCCTGCCGCTCGTCCGTCTCGTGCCATGAGCCTGAGCCCGAAGTACGCCTGTAGCTGCCACCGCCACTCATTGCGACGGGATGGCTTGGTGGTGAGTATGGAGATTGAGTGTGTTCAAGGTGGGTGGTTGTATCACTAAGGCGATGAGCTGACGGAAGGACGGACGGTCAGGAGAACGGACAAGGGGTGGATAGACGGGCAGCCGATTGGCGTGCCTGTCAGCTAGATGGATTGCGGCTGGGATGAAGGGATGGTCCAGTAGCGCTCAGGGCTGTCGCTGATTGAACTGCGCTGGGAGTGGGAGGGCAGTGCGTGGAACAAACGGTTCAGTACCGCTCTTCGCAACGAGCAAGCTCAAGGACGAATACCAGACACTGCCTCTTGTTGACCTTGGAGTATAGCAGCTGGGACTTCCAGGCACACGAGGCAATGTGAATTGCCGGCGAGCGATGGGGGAGGGGAGGGGGGAAGTCCCAGCCCAACAAAGGGGCTTTCAGGATAGCCCGGAGGCTTCAATCCCACGGCCACGCGGACCAGCTCAGACGCTGCTGCTACCAATGCTGCTGATGCCGCTGCCGCGGCGCCTGCAGCGAGACTGCGTGGTGATGATGATTATACTTGAACTTGAAATTGCAAATCCTGAGATTGAAGTGGCGAGTGTGTGTTTATGGTTCGAGTGGTTAACTAGAGCTTCGACCCTAAGGTTTAGCGTAGCTGGCCTTAAGCACCTGAACTGTACAGCTCGGCTTGAGAGAGTGCCAGAGGAAAAGGTGAAACACTTTCAATATCCAGTAGGGGTTGGCGTAGGGTGGTGGGGTGGCAGTGGAAGCGGAAGTCGAGCAAACGGAGACGCACAGGCAGAACTGCGCTGGCGGCCGAGGCGGGGGGACTCCGCAAGTAGCCGCTGCAGGAGGAAAAGATGGGCGGATGTGATGAAGCAGATGGATTAAGGACGTGGCAAAGGAAGTGAATTGGCGGTTGGCGGTGGAGCTGGAAAGAGCGACGTAGACGAGTTGGGAAAGGGGGGAGGGGGTACGGAGGAGGAGGGAGGGAGGCTCAGGCAAGTGGGAGGAGTTGGGGGAGGGAAGAGGAGGAGGTGCGGAGGAGGTGCGGAGGTGGTGCTGGTGGTGTCGATGTCAGATGATGATAGCGATGGAGGTGGTGATGATGGTGGCGATAATGCCGCAGGTGGTGAAAGCGCAGACGACTCCGACGAAGACTGAGAGCGACCACAGGCTACAGCAGCAGAGCCAAGCGACGCACCAGGCGTATCTTAACGAGTAGGCCACGCCTCGAAGCAGGAAACAGCAGTAGATGACTAACCAGCCACCAGCACTTGATGCAATTGCAGACTCCTAGTCTGCTTCCGTTCCTTTCACTGAAGGAAGCACGAAGCGTCACTGCAGATCAAAGGCTCGAAAAGAACCTTACAACAGCGGAACGACCTCGCCTATTTGCGACCAACTAGCTTTGAAAATCTTCAGGAGACGAACGACGGCGTGTGCGATGCCGCCCGTCCTCTGCAACGCTCGCTGTCACACGCAAAAACGTCGTTTTGCAATCAGATACGCCCCCGCGATTCGCGTCTTCAGGTCACCTGGGCGCGCGCAGCGCGACAAGAAGCGCGCGATCTTCACCGCTACTCCCAAGTCGCAGTTGTCGGCCGGAGGAGAGGAACTCCTCGTCTCGAAAAGAGGCGTTAAGCGCAGCTATCTCTGAACCCTGACGTTCCTTGCACGTCCAGCAACGAAACCACTTTCTTGAACCCTGCCGTGGAATGCAGGATCCGTATGCAGAGACCCCGATTTCCTGCTGACAGAGCCTTCAAGGTTGAAAATGACTCCGAAAAAACGGGCCGTTAAACGTCGGGCGGGCGAGCAGCAGATGCGAGTGAAGGAGGCGCGCGTGTGGCGAGAGGAGAAGAACCGAAGAGACGGGCCGACGAAGGGCACACGTCGGCCAGAGAGGAATGGGCGAGTCAGCGGGTAGCTCTTTGCGATGTACTTCGGGCAGAGCCTGGAACTGTTAACAGCCCACGGATTGATGAGGTGACGAGGGGCGACGAGCGCAGATGGAGGCGCAAGGAACGCGGAACGCGGAACGCGGAGGTGCTGAGCGAGGAGCGAGGAAAACACGACCACTGTTTAATTGCGGAATATTGATGATAGATGATGATGGTAACCGGCGTGACGACCAGCGAGGTGCGCGCGACCGATACTCGTTGCGCACGGCGCGGGGCGTTACGATCGGAGACGGGGAGGAGACGAGCCGATGAGATGAGGTGAGAAGAGACGAGCAGAGGCGAGACGAAGCGGGACGAAGCGAGAAGAGGAGAAGCGAAGCGGGATCAGGTGACGAGTAGTCGAGAGGAGGCGAGGCACTGAAGGCCGACGATTGGCGATGAGAGGAGACGACAGGGAAGCGTAAATCGCTGCTCGCCTGAACGACGGGGAACTGGTACTCAGCCCTTCTCTTACACAGTCCGCAACCCTTCGTTAAATCCACCCTCTTTTGCTGAAGCGGATATGCAGCCAAGGTGAGGCTTTTGAAGACGATCAAACGATGGCGCACGGTTGAAGGTTAACTCGAACCAAGCCGGGACGAGCCAAGTCGAGTTGCAATCAACGCGATGAAAGGGCGAAGTGTGACAGATATGCCAGCCGCGAAGCAGCAGGATCGGGAATAACCGAAGACTGGAGAGTGGTGCAGAAAGTGGCTCTGAGAAGCTGCGGTATAACCTCTCCACCAATGTCAGGATCTACGACAAAAAGGATTGCGTGAGCTTGCGGTAACGGCGACTATAGACGGTAGATCAATCTCCACGGAAAAATGCTCTCGAGATTGGAAAAGCGAGCAAAAACTTGAGACGAGTTGGAAGACCGAATGGAAAGTCGTAGCTTGAAGGCCTCTTCTTGATTTTCTCACGGTGGAGGAACCGAGATGTGCGGAGATCTCGTACGGCCTCGAAAAGGGCAGATCTGAGATAAATGGAGAGGTGGCGTGAAGAACGCGATCGACGGAAGCGTTCGAGTTGTTGTTGCGGTGAACAAGGGGAGTGGCGATGAGAGGGGAAATGGCGATCTGGAGAGAAGCCGATGACGAGGAACGATTAAGAATGCACGACACTAAATCCTACGTAGATCCGTGACTAGGAAAAGGTAAGCCTCCCATCCCAACGGCAGCAAACTAAACCCGCCACGATGGATCAGCCATAGCGGAAAAAGTGGCTATGTCGAAACTGGCAAGCTGCAGCCGAGATACCAGACCAGACCAGAGAAATGACGACCATATTATGGATGGAGTTGTGCCTTCATGTATGAACGAATGCTTGGTGGTCAGTGGTCACTGGTCATTCTAGAAATTGGATGGTAGGAATTACCAATAATCACCGAGGGATTTGCTGCAGAGGAGAGCCAGCGTGACTGTACAGGGCGAATGAGAGGCGCTCATGCAAGAACGCGAACAAGGTCTGAGTCGCTGGTGTAATGTATTGCTTATACCGAGGGTATGTGAATGTACGGCTGCAATGTAATCTCCGTAATGGAAACAGATCGTAGTCGCACATTCACAGCACAGGTCTCAGAAACGCATACGTGGCCTTCCTGATAGCAGTGTAACCAGACTCGATGATGAAGTCAATATTTACAACGAACAAGCCCTGTGTACAGCTAAATTATTATTGAGAAGAACACAAAACCACATACCCCTCCCAAATTCATTTTATAGCTACCGGCACACATATGCACTGTGCTGCTTGTTGACGATTGTGCACAGCTGGTGCATTCATAGGATCTTGCGACGCCGCAGGTAGATGAGCATGAGGACAAACATGACCACACCACCCAAGATGATGCCCCCTGTGGTCATCCAAAATGCAGTCTGTAGTAGTAAGGGGTGGCAGAAGAAAGTTAGGGAAGCGTGATATAAGGCTCAACGTATCTCTCCTGTCAGAGCATAAAGCCTGACACGCAGATGGCAACCAACATCAGAACGAACACATGTTCCCACGGGCATATACAGACGCACACATTGAGACGCATTTGTGTGATTGTCCAAAATTACAGATGGAAGGGAGGGAGCAAGACTTACAGCACATTCTTCCAACCGACTTCGAAGGTTCATACCGAAGATGCCTGTCAGTGGCAAGCACCATATACAAGCAACCCAGGCAACAACCACCACCCAAGTACATAGTAACAACAGGAGGGGTCAGAACCATGATATTCAACAAAAAAGAAGTGCGCACTGAAACCACATGGCCGCACGAGAGAGGAGAGTGAGCGTGAGAAGGCTCTAACAGATGCAGGAAGTTAGGAAGGATAAACATTCCTAATTGGGAATTGAAGTGATGAGCAGCACGGGTGAAGCAGCGAAGAACACAGCTGAAGAAACCAAGATCACGCACTACAACAGTGAAGGACCAGAGTGAGGCAAAAGCGTAGGGATGTAGACGGGTGCCCGTGAAGAGAAAGCAGGGTTGAGGGGATGCACAGAGAAGCAGCACAGCAGCACAGCCCATGTACTTAGCTAATACTGAATCAGTGTGAGAGCATGGCTGACCTGCAATGAGGGCCCCAATGGCAGAAGCGAATGTGGCCACTTGTAGCAGAAGCTCAAAGCGACTCACTTCTAGGCGACGAGAGCTGCAGAGGGGATGCAGTGGGCAGGGATGCGTGGAGGACGCAAGGAAGAAGAAGATTGTGGAAAGTGAAGGGAGCAGATGGTAAGGGCAGGAGAAGGTGAAGGGAGCAGATGGTAAGGGCAGGAGAAGGTGAAGGGAGCAGATGGTAAGGGCAGGAGAAGGTGAAGGGAGCAGATGGTAAGGGAAGGAGAAGGTGAAAGGAGCAGGTTTCGAGACTTCTTAAGAAGTGAATGCGGCTTAAGTAAGCCGATAGTGAAGGTAGGGGAAGGTCGACGGTGTGTGAGGGAAGGAAGGGGAAGGGTGGGAGGGAAAGGAAGTTCATGTGGCATAGGTGGCGGGAGGATGGATTGTGAAAAGAAAATTGGAGCAGGAGGCGGCATGAGAGGGAAGGAGTGGTGTGGTTGAGGCGTTGACGTTGATGGTGAGTTGACGAGAAGAGAAGAGAAGAGGCCCACCTGAGGTTGACTGAGATTGAATCCTCCATCTCCCTGGCTGAATCCAGTAGCTTCTCCGCTTGCCCATGGCACGAGTCGCACCTGCCATGTGCACAGTCACACATGCGTGCACGCACACACACACACATACACACACACACACACACCCATGCATGCACGCATGCATGCACCCCATGCACACAGAGACATGCACACATCCCCACATCCATTCATGTGGAGATGAACAGGAATGTAGGACATGTGTGCCCAGGCAAGCAGACCAGACATATGGTACATGCGTGCACGTATCCACTTGCAAATGCAAGTACACATATGGCCATACTCACATTAGCGCATGCACAAGGCATCCAAACGTAAGACCACACACATGCACACATCGGAAGGGGTTGAGTAAATGGGTGCAGTGCAGGTATGGGCATAGGCATGGGCATATGCATGGATGGTAACAGTAGTAATGTTGTGAAGAAATTGTGGTGCAAGGACGCCTGTGGGCAAGTGATTCAACAAGAAGCAGCAGCAGGGTGAGCCAAAGGTTCCTCACACAAGGCAAAGCAACACAGCACCAGCACCAGCACCAGCACCAGCACCAGCACCAGCACCAGCACCAGCACCAGCACCAGCACCAGCGCTAAAACCACCACCAGCTTTGAGACGTCTCAAGACTAGCACCAGTAGCAAATGGAAGGCAGGGAACTGTACCGTTGGAGGTAGTACTCTAGCAACATCTCCACCTCCTGCTCCTCCTCTGCATCACAGCACAGCACATCATGCACCGCACAAAGAGGAACGAGAGAGACTGGTGAGACACATGGATGGCTCAAGGACACACATGCCTACTTGACGCCACTAGCCCAACCAAGCGCACACACCCTTCCACACCACACCCCTATTTAAACCTACAAATCCCTCCCTGCACATATGCACCCCAACGCTGCATGCACCCCGACCTTGCAGCATGCACCCAAGCGCCGCCACGCCCTCTCCCTGCCTCCCGCCCTACCCACTCTCCCCACCCACCCCCCACCTTTGCGCCCCCTCCCCGCCCTCCGTCGTCCTCACCATCCACGAGCCGCTGGTCGATGGGTGTGGGGCACTCCACGTCGCCGTCCTTGCTGACGTGGCAGTGCCGCCCCATGGCTGTGATGCGCCGTAGGTCGCTCGTGTGCTCCAGAAGCTCGAGCAGCATCTGCCTCAGAGCTCCCACCTTCGACCCCAGCTCCACCTGTAAGGGAGGGAAAGAAACGGGGAGGGGTGGGGGTTCGGAAGGAAATGAGGGAGATGGGGGCGTAAGTCACTCGTGTGTTCCAGCAGCTCCAGCAGCATCTGCCTCAGCGCCCCAACCTTGGGCCCCAGCTCCACCTGCCGGGATGGTAAAAGGGAGGTGGTGGGGAAGGAATTCGGCAGAGCAGGATGGGGTTGTGATGCGCCGCAGGTCACTCGTGCTCCAGCAGTTCCAGCAGCATCCGGCGCAACGCTCCCACCTTGGACCCCAGCTCCACCTGGGGTATGAGGGGATGGGGAGGAAGGAAATGAGGGAGATGAAAGAGCAGGTCACTCGTGTGCTCTAGAAGCTCTAGCAGCATCTGCCGCAGTGCCCCCACCTTGGACCCCAGCTCCACCTGAAAGGGGGGACAGGGGGGGGGGGGAAGGGGAGAACAGGGAGAGGAGGATTTGGTAGAGCAGGATGAGCAGGATGGGAATGTGATACTGTGCATGTCACTTGTGTGCTCTAGCAGCATCTGCCTCAGCGCCCCCACCTTTGACCCCAGCTCCACCTGCAATGGGGGGTCATCTTTGTGCAGGGTTTATGGTACGAGTTACAAGTGTGCAGGAGCATGCACAATATAAGCAGCGCACACACCGCACATACACACGCGCGTTCACCAGGGCCTGTGTCGGTCGTGTGTATGTATACCGTGCACAATACAAGCAGCACACACTGCACACACACACTGCACACACACACTGCACACACACACTGCACACTGCACATTGTACAGAACCCAGAGCACACACACGCACCAGAGCCTGCTTGGCCAGACGCAGCTCCTCGAGATTGTCGGCTGTGATGTGTGTGGGGAGAACCTCCAATAGCGCCTTCGTCTGCTCATGCATGAATGAAGGCACGGGTGTGTGGTTGGGCAGGGAGGGGTGAACGGGCGTTTAAGGCGGTTGAAGGAGGTTGTCGGCTGCGATGTGCGTTGGGAGAACCTCCAAAAGCGCCTTCATCTGCTCATGCATGAGACAAATCGGTGCGGTCGGGTGAAGGGCGGGTGAAATGGGGGCGAAAGCGGGGGGGTGACAGGGTTTCAACAAGGGGGATGGGTGGGGGTGAACAGGGACGGCACGGGGAGAATGGGGTCGTGGAGAGAGAAGGTAGGGTGTGTGCAGTGCATTGCAGTGCAGGAGAGAAGGGTAAGGGGAGATGCGGATGGGTGGATCCTGAGATATTGCTGCGAGTGTGCTGCGAGAGTGGGGGGATGAAACGCGAGCAGAAAGGGGCAGGCCGGTGGCAGGGATACAAGGCAGGAGGGGGGGCGAGCGTGGAGAGGGAGGAAGGGAGGGAGGGAGGGAGGGAGGGAGGGAGGGAGGGAGGGAGGGAGGGAGGGAGGGAGGGAGGGAGGGAGGGAGGGAGGGAAGGAGCGAGGTAGAGAGGGAAGGGTGACTGACCCGAGGTTCGATGTCCAGAAGAGCACTCTCAAGGCGCTGTGTGCGGGAGATCAAGGCACACTCCACCACCTGTGATGCGGGGAGAAAGGGGAAGAGGAAGAGGGGACGAGTGGGAGGGAGGGAAAGGGAAAGAGGAGAAGGAGGGGTAGATGGAGAGGGAAATGGAGGAGAGGAGGGGTAGATGGATGGAGAGGGAGAGTGGGGATGAGAGAGGAGATCCGAGGAAGATCAAATGGGTGTGGTAGCCGGTTCGATAAGAGATGGATACTCAAGTGTGTCATACGGGCATGGGCGGGAGACATGCCTGGAAGGGATTGGACACAGTAGCAACATGCACGCATGCAGCAAAACACCATCACCCATGGGAGGTAAGCACCAAACAGCACAGGAAAGACACCCAATGCCAAGCAGCACCAGCAGTGCCGTGCCGTGCCATGCCATGCCATGCCATGCCATGCCATGCAATGCCATGCCATGCCGTGCCACCGCACCTCCAGTTCGAAGGGCACGGGGCCCCCCACGCCCTTCCCCCCGTGCATGTCTGCCAGATCTGCATCCAGCCTCAGACGATCCAGCAGCACCTCCAGGAATGCCCTCGCTCCTGCACTGCAGCATGTGAGGGGATGAGAGGAGTGGGGGGGGGGCGGGGGGGAAGGAGGGGAAGTGGGAAGACGGGGGAGATGGGGGAGGAGGGGGGGGAAGGGGCAGCACAAGAAGGAAGCGGAGGGGGCGGAAGGTGAGTGAGAGGGTGCAAAGGTGCACTTTCAATGAGGGTAGGGGGGCGTATAAGGGCGAGGGGAAGAAGGGCGAAAGGTGAGGGGTGACCTGTAGTCCCACTAAAAGTGGCAATTGGATGTTTGAGCATTCTCCCTGCCTAGAATTCCCTCACTTTACTCCTGGATGTTGCCTTGGCAGCACTGCTAGCCCACGTGCTCTGCATTGCTATGCGCACTGTGGTGTGCAATTCTCTGCACACTGTGCTGCGCATTGTGGTGCATGTGGTGGCACCTGTGATGGTCGAAGATGAGAACAGAGTCAGCTGTAGCTATGGCCCGTAGCGACCCTAGGTTCACCAGAATCGCACTCTCACGCACCTGCATGCGAGTGTGTGTGAGGGGGGGGGGGGGGAGTACTTTTGAGTCAACTCAAAAACCTGCAGAGACCCTAGGTTCACCAGGATCACACTCTCCCGCACCTGCATGCGGGTTCGCGGTTGGGGGGGAACAGGTGGGATGGAGGCGGGGATTGGGGTTGCATGGGATGTGTGGGTGTGTGTGGGGGGAGATGGAAGAGGAAAAGAGGGTGTGTGTAGAGGGGAAGCAACGCAAGAGAGAGGGAAGGAACGAACAGGCGAGGCGAGCGGGGTTAAACAAGAGAGGATGAAGAAAGGGTGGGGGGAGAGTGGTCACTCTGAGGATAATGCACGACTGTCCAAACCAGAGCAGCTGCAATCACAACGGGAAACATAATCAACTCTTCCCCATTTCCACCTTTCACCTCACCTATATGGCTTACCAAAACGTCATGCCCATGTCCCACTCACCAGCAGAGCAGGCAGAGCGTTGGTGACCCAAAGAGACGGGTCGATGCGGCGTATGTCACGCTGCGATAGACCTGCACGGGAGAGGAGACGTGCGGGCACGAGGAAAGGATGGGATGGAGCGAAATCAGGAGGAGATACAGGAGATGAGTGAAGGAGTGAAGGTGTGGAGCAGCAGAGAGGAAGGCAGGCGAAGCAGTGATGTAAGGATGACAGTCACTTGACTGACAGAACTCTGAAGCCTTAGGCATGTAGTTCACCTAGCTAGCCATGGTCTGCACACAGTACCACCTCAATGACCTCACATCACACTTTCTCTAGTGTTAATTGCTCCTCTCCTAAACATAGCTTTCTGTAGGTGGCGATTTTCTAGGCGCCTAAGAGAAAGCTCACCACTGTATCGCAGCAGCTGCCGCCGACTGACCTCCCTCTGCCTGAGTGCCCCGCTCGCACTCACCTCCACCACCTGGAGTCAGGGAGGGAGGGAGGAGGGACCGGGGGTGGGATTGGAGATGGGGGAGAAGGAGAGGGGAGGGAGGAGGGGGGAAGGGGGGGTTAGGCAGGAAGGAAACGGAAGAAGGAGGGGGGGTTGTGGGGAATGGGGAGGTGTGGCGGAAGGTGGGAGACGAGAGGGGTTGGTTGGGTTGACTGTAGCGTGCGAAACAATAGCTAGGAGACACAGATGGATGACGGTGAAAGGGAAGTGGGGTGGGCTGGGAGAGCCTGGAACTAGAGACTGAAACTGATTCAGTTTGAGATCCATCCAGGCACCACGTATTCTAAAAGTGACTGTTCAAGTGCTTGCATCCACTCCGCATCTTCCATCTTTCCCACATCTTCCACTCCCAAATTCCTCGCCGTCTCACTTGCCTCTCCCCATCCCTCCACCCCTCTCCAACTCCCATCACGAATCATTGCACACGCTCACGCGCTCACACACCCAACCCCACCATACACACACCCACACATACACACGTGTGTACGCACAAGCAAGCACCCCCACACACACACCTGGTACACGGGTTTCTTAGACATGGTGAGCGTGAGGGCATCCACTGCCATACACCCCCTCCCCGCCATACCCTCACCCACACCCACACACTCACGCACTCGCACACGCACCCCCCCACACACACACCTGGTACACGGGTTTCTTAGACATGGTGAGCGTGAGGGCATCCACTGCCATACACCCCCTCCCCTCCATACCCTCACCCACACCCACACACTCACGCACTCGCACACGCACCCCCCCACACACACACCTGGTACACGGGTTTCTTAGACATGGTGAGCGTGAGGGCATCCACTGCCATACACCCCCTCCCCGCCATACCCTCACCCACACCCACACACTCACCCACTCGCACACGCACCCCCCCACACACACACCTGGTACACGGGTTTCTTAGACATGGTGAGCGTGAGGGCATCCACTGCCATACACCCCCTCCCCGCCATACCCTCACCCACACCCACACACTCACCCACTCGCACACCCCCACACACACACCTGGTATACGGGTTCCTTCGACATGGTGAGCGTGAGGGCATCCACTCCCTGACCCGATCCCGAGGCCACCCACCCGCGGCCCACAGCAAAGGCAGGCCCCGTCGCCTCCCACCAGCTGCCAATGGGCGGCCGAGTCACTTGCGTGAATGAACTAGGGGACGTGCCCACTGCTGCAGCCGCGGCTGCACTGGCGCCAGCGGCAGACACAGCCGCAGCACTGGGAGAAGCAGCAGCAGAAGAAGCAGCAGCAGCAGCAGCAGCAGCAGCAGCAGCAGAAGTAGCAGCAGCAGCAGCAGAAGCAGAAGCAGAAGCAATGGCAGGTCTGGCAGTGGCAGCAGCAGTACCGTTGGTGGCAGCAGCGCCATTAACACCAGAAGCTGCAGTCATGTAAGGACGAGGATGGTCTGGGGAGACCCCGCTATCAGACAAGCTGCCTGTGTGATTTATCGTGGCGAAACGATTGGCTCCAGCATCTTTGCCTCGCTTGACTTCCGCAGCGTGGTTGACTCGGTTGACTCCTGCACAATCCAATCTCCAGATCTCAAAATCGGGATGGCCCTCACCTCTCGCACCAGCGCCACCATTCTCAACCCCACCGCCGCCACCACCACCACTGCCGCTGCCGCTGCGGCTCACCCTGCTGCTTTCCCCGCCCTTTTTCTCTGCCAGTTTCTGCATCCCCAGTTTGCGTTCCTTCTTTTCCTTCTCACGGGCCAGATGCGAGGCTACCAGCGAGACTATCACGCCCACCCACCCCATCCCCGCTCTCGCCCACGACCACTTCCCTTTCTCCTCTACTCTACTCTCCTCCTCTCCCTCACTCAGGCTTTGCTGGTCATGACCACGATCTTCTGCCAAAACGCGCGTTGCCGCAGTATCGAATCCTCGCTCCAACTCCTGTAACTCTTCAAACTCCTCTATCTCCTCTAAATCACCACCGCAATCATCCATCCCTCTCTCCTCATGACCATCGTTGCCACTATCTGTACCCGGCCTAAAGCTGCTGCCACTATCCATGCTGCTGTCGTTGCTTCTCGCACCGCTGCCGCCGCTGCCTCCGCTGTCCTCGCAAACTCTACTGATGGTTCGACACACGACGCTGCTACTGCGTCCTCTACGGCCCGACACATTTCGATTAGCACCGCCGCCGCAATTCAACCCCGGATTTACGAAACCATTGAACCCCGTTTCGCACTCTCTCTGCGCCTCGGCTCCAATCCCTTCTTGCCACCTAGTTCTGCAACTTCGCCTGCTGGAAAAACCTAAATGGGGGATATTACTCCGTGGTGAAGCTGCTGACGTGTCAGCCAGAGGACATGATCGCTGAGGCCCGTGCGACTGCGTGCGAACCCGTCTGTGCCGTCGTAAATGGTTAGCTGTGCCTACTGTAGAGACGGCTGTAGCGGCTGCTGTAGAGCTTTGTCTGAGCTGCGATATCGCGTGCGATTGCGTGCGACGCCGCAGAGGTACGAACGAAGGGTGGGAGGGACTGCTCGACGTCGCCTTTGAAACGGTCGAAACAGTTAAAGTAGTGAATGCGGAAGCTTCGCAGGTGATCCCGCTCCTTGGCAGACCTTCCACTCCAGGAAGCGCATATCCTTTGATTCTTCGAATGACGGTCCTATGGGATGATGACAATGATCGAGGGAACTGCACTCTACGATCTTCAGGAGCAAATATTTCGTTTGTCGTTGCGCGAAATCGTCTTAAGCGAGATTCGTTTTTGAAAAGTAGTAGACGACGGTGCGAGAGGACATCACCAGGCCGGGGTTCGGGAGAAGGGCAAGGCAGTAACAGGGATTGGCTAAAAGCAGGCGCCAAGGACCTGACGCAGGAATAGTGAGAGCTACGGCTTAGAGCTGTTGGAATCCGAGACAATGGAGGAGGCAGACCGTGGGGCCTAGTAATGACCGCCATGGAATTAACAGGCTTAGATAAGCCGACCTCGAAACTATGCGTGGGATGGGATGACACAGGCTAAAGACAACGCATTGGGATAGTCCAGTTGTTGAAAGCAGGCTCACGACGAGCGGAACTGGAGCAGGCTGTCCAATTGAAAGAGCTTGAGAATACAGGCGGGCGGGTCAAGTATTGGAGCGCAGTGGCACCAGTTCCGTATGGTGCGGCTGAACTGGCATCTGGTCTGAGGTCTCTAGTTTTGTCGTGATAAGCAAAGTGCTTTAGTGATGGGATGGGATTGAAATTGCAGCTCACTGGTGTGTGTGAGGTTGTTCGGTACAGATGTCCCATGCAAGTTTGGCTGCGTTCCTCAACCTCACAACAGAACCGAGAAATGAGTTGAAAACGATCACAAGACAGGAGGGAGTGAAGGGAGCAGCAGGAGAGAATCACTGTAGAACCTTGTTCGGTGATTCATCCTTACTCGCGTGGCCTCGAATTACTCGAGTGGCCACCAAATTTGGTGATAATTACTCTAGTGGCCACCCCAGGGCATTTTAGATGTGTTTTTTTCTCCCCGACACATTTCCATACAAGGGTTTGTATCCCCAAAATTCCTCGTTCGCACAAGTCTCATCCCGTGGTCATGTTTTGTACCATTTCCCACCCGAAAATTTTGGGTGGGTGGCGGGCGCGAACGTGGCCCACACACTGTACACAAAACCGTAAAAAATGCACGACCAATGCGCAATCATTTTCGGCCTAATGCGCGACCAATGAGCGCGCGGTCAAAAGAATCAGCGATCATAAGCTGCACCGCGGGGGCATAAATGCGTGGACCCATTAGTGACCGCGCAAGATTGGTCGATAATATGTCAGTTTCCCTTTTTGCCAATGCGCGTCCAATCAGGCGCGGTCCTTTCTTTCACGACCATATATGTAGGCAATAAAAGATCGCCCAATAACCAATATGAGCACTCACGTTTTAAGATAAATTGTATTATATTACCGGTACATATAAAACCATGTCTATCAAATGCCATAAATATATTCTCTGCAATTACTTTGAGCCCAGCATAATCGTGGTCCATATAATTGTATTGCCAGTTGTATGGTTGCAGCATATACCATTTAAACAACATCTTAAAACGCTATGCCTTGAAGCTTTATGCATGTCAAGCTATATGCATGTCAATGAGTTATAAACATTGATTTGGAGTTTACAATGCAAGTCGTTTCAGCATATCTTGTGTTTAGTTACCAAGGAAGGTTTCGATGATGTCGTCACCCACCCCTGCACACGCTGAGCAAACCGTGATATTAGTACCAAGCAAGGTTAGCAATTAGATTTGTATAGCACTTGATTCATGCCTATCAAAGTTTAGATACAATCATCCGTAAAGTCTCCATACATAGAAATCTAATTCAATGGATACAATCGGACTACAGTGAAGCCAGAAATCGTCAGAATCGACAAGAGTGATTGCACTAGGAAAGAGTTGGGTACAAGTAGGAAACCCTAAACTTACTGTACCCCATAGTAACTACCCCACTACAGCCTAAAAAAACTGTAGCATACAGAACATTTGACACACCCCCATAGGCAAAGTGGGGGAGAGCAAGGGGTTACAAGACCAGTCAAGAAAGGCAAAGCAAGCTCAGGGTGGATCACAACGTCACCACACACTCTGAGCACAAGCAAAGGGCCACAAGGCCAGTTCACATGCAGAGGCATATATGCAACACAAACAACACAGTGATCTCTACCTAGCAAAGCAAGCATGCAGGTATATATATAGATCACAGTACAAGCAAAGCCTACAACAGGTGAGGAAAAGTGGGCACAAGCCCTAGCATAGTGCAGAAACGCTGATGATCACCAAACTAGAGTGCCTTGGTGAATATATGAGCAGTGTTGGCCCGAGTGGCCACGTAACGCAGACGAAGCGGACCACGCTGCTGCAACTCTCGAGCCATGAAGTAACGCAGAACGATGTGCTTCATTCTGTGCTCCAGTCTGTAATCCTGACACAAGGCAATGGTAGCCTTGTTGTCGACGTACAGCACTGGAGGAGAACGAGGCCGCTCTCCCAAGTCACTCAGCAGGGAGGTGAGCCAGCGTAACTCCTGTGCAGCCATGGCTGTATCGTAGATCTCAGCCTCACAACTGGAGCTGAGAACTGAAGACGGGCGTGTAGAACGCCAAGAAACTGAACCAGAGCCAAGGCTGAAGGTGTAACCCTGTGACGACCGCTCAGTAGCCTGGTCGTCAACCCAAGAAGCGTCTGAGTGCCCAGTGAGAACAATTGAGCTCCTCCCTCCAAGCACGAGCCCCATGCCTGATGTACTGCACAAGTAGCGCAGTACCCTCTTAGCAGCATCCATGTGCACTTTTCGTTGCCGACCAGGAGCCACGTAGTGAGCCAGAAGGCCAAGAGGGTACGCGAGGTCAGGACGAGTGCAAGTCATCAGATACATGAGGCAGCCAACTAGCTCTGGCTAAGGACCACTTGGCTCTACGGACTCGTCCGAAGGTGGAGCTGAGAGCGACTGACATGTAGCCAGAGGAGTGGCCTGTGTCGAGGACCAAGTGAAGCCGAAGCGCTGAAGGACCTGCTGCACCATGTATGACTGAGTCACTGTGATGGTGCGGCGTGCTCTGTCCCGGGTGATATGCAAGCCAAGGTAGCTGCGCAGCTCACCCAGGTCTATGCACGTGTGTCTCTTCTGCAGCTCGGACTTCACCAGGGCGAGAGCCTCAGTCTCAGCAGTGGCAAAGACCAAGTCGTCGACGTACACGAGGATGTAGAACGGTGGCAGCGAAGTGTCGGTGCGCAGAAACAGCGACGGGTCAGCAGTAGAAGGCGCGAACCCAAGAGCCGCAAGTGTAGTCCTCAGTGTGTCGTGCCACTCACGTGGCGCCTGGCGGAGACCGTAGACCGGCCGCCGAAGGCTCCACTAGGTACCAGGAGGGAACGACCCAGTGAAGCCAGGAGGGCGGCGCAGCCAGATCTTCTCGTGCAGGCTGCCCTACAAGAAAGTTGTGCTGAAGTCAAGAGAGTGAAGCTCGTAGTCACGCTGAGCGGCAACGTGCAGTAGCACCCGAAGAGTGGTCATCTTCGGGGTGGGGGAGAAGGTCTGGAAGAAGTCAACTCCCTCTCGCTGACTGAAGCCTCGAGCAACGTAACGAGCCTTGAAGACAGGTGGAGAACCGGGCGGCCGCTTCACCCTGAAAATCCACATGCCACTGACGATGTTCGCCCCAGGAGGGGTAACCTCGTCGACGTAAGTGCCAGTGGACTTCCAGGATGCCATCTCTACGTCCATGGCTGACTGCCACTGAGAGGAGTACTCACCCGCGATCGCCTCAGCGTAAGAGTGCGGGGCCGGGATGTCTGGTGCATCCGGGTCTCCCTCAGGTGCAATCAGTATGGACACGAGATGAGGTACGGCGGCGGCAAAGCACTCAAACTCCTCCTGCCTATCCTCAAGGACGTCCGTGCCAAGAGCACACTCACCCCCGACGAACGGAGGACAGACAGACTCAGACTCAGACTCAGCAACAAGACTCGCAGCGTAGTCTAGACGATAGTGAGTAGCAAAGTCGACAAGCTCAGCAACCAAGGCAGACGAAGCAGCTGACTCAAAGGAAGGGTCAGTGACAGTTGTGGCCAGGAGACGTGTGACAGTAGGACTAGCAGCACGAAGAGAGTTAGACTCCGGGTCGGCAAGGGCAGGAAGAGAGGACTCCGAAGGAGAAGGCAGCGGGACACGCTGTGGAGCAGTGGAAGGACGAAGCGCCATCTGGTGAGTGCTTGGGACAGCAAGAGGACGCTGACGTGGGACACGAGGACCATTGCGAGCAGCACGAACAGGTGACGCAGACCGAGACTCAGGCGACACAGGACGGGACTCAGGCTCCCGACGCTCCGTAAGACCACCTGTCGGACCAGTGTAGGGAGAAGGACCAGGGAGTGGCGAGACAGGCGGTAGCTGTGAGAGCGACTGGACAGGCGGAGGACACTCTAAGGAGGGAGCAGGACAAGGAGGAGGCGGCAGACCAAGAACCTGCTGAAGGAGGGGAACGAAGTACGGCTGTGGCCGTGAAGTGCCCCCAG